ATACATACATACATACATACATACATACATACATACATACATACATAAAATAAAATAACAATCTATATTTTCGTAACGTTATTAATTTTGGATGCACGTGATTGGTCCGTCAACGGCTCAGTGAGACTGCGCAGACTCGGTAGAAGGACAGAGGTCATGTGACTTGCCCAAACCAAATATGGCGAAGACGGTAAACACAGAGGTGTTTTGTATGGACTTTTTACTCGTTTCTCACGGTTTGACACATCATATGTGCTAACCAGCTGTTTTTCAAGACCTTCCGTTTAAGCACCGAGGGGCTCCTGGCGTGCGGAACGAACGGAGAGCTCAAACGAAACCCGGAAAACAAACGGAAGTGTCGCCCTGTTGTTTAAAACCAAACATCCGCTTCTGCAACGCGCGTGTGATGTTATTTCGTCGTCCAACTTAAAACAATGTGAAAGGAACATGGGAAATGAACCAGCTCACTTACAGCTAAACAAACTCGACGCCGATAAAGAGTCAACAGTCCGGACAAGATGTAACGTCTGAAAATGTCAACCTGAACGGGGAGGGAAAAAGAGATGTTCTTAGCTGTGGACACAACCTGAGGGCGTCCAGAGGCAAACTGCTCCTTTAAAGATAAGTTACCATGGGTTTGGTGAACTTGGTGATCTCCACAATAGGGAAATGCTTGGACGCCGTCTGCGTACTTTTGGACCTGAACTTCCTCGTCGTCCACAGCGTGGTGCGGGCTATCCTGGCGGTCATCACCTTCATCCACAACCTGCCCACCCTGCTGGTCAACACGCTGGTCCAGCTGGGCAACCTGGTGGTGTTTTTCACCATCTCCCTGGCGGAGGCAGCGTCGGGCCTAGCCCACAGCACGGCCACGGTGTGCGGGGGTGGGGTCCTGGCCCTGGAGGGGCTGCTGGAGAGCCTGAAGATGATGGGCTACCTGTCCATGCACGTGCTGCTGCGGGGGAAGGAGCACGTGTGCCGGGGCCTGGTGTCGGTGCTGGAGGGCTGCGGGATAGCGGTCAGCCTGGTGGTCTACTTCACCAACACGGTGGTGAACTTCGCCCTCATCGCCACGCAGAACGTGTACCTGGCGGCGGTCGGGGTGTGGCAGACGGTGTCCAGTCCCCTGCAGAAGGTGCTGGAGCTCACCCTGACCGCGCTGACCTTCCTGTACAGCTGCCTGGCCGGGACCTCGGCTCTGCTGTGGTCGCCCTGCAAACTGGCCCTGGACTTCCTGGTCTCCCTGGTGCACATGTTCGTCAGCATTTTCATCCTGAACGTCTACGGCCTCCTGCTCACCGTCACCATCACCCTCACCACCACCGCCTATCTGAACCCGGGGCTGACCCGCCGGGCGGCCCTGCGCGTTGTGGACTACGTGCGCTCCTTTCAGGCCGTGCAGAGGGCGTGTCTGTCTCTGGGCCGTCTTGCGTCGGCCCTGTCGAGCATCGGGCATTTTCTGTGTCGCAACCTGCAGAACCTGCACAGGACCCTTCGCTACCTCTCCCTCCCAGAGAGAGGACTCTGGCGGCAGCTGTCTGACCACAGCGGCCAGCTGGGCGTGGCGCTGCGGACCCAGTTCCACCGGGACAACCCCGGCAGAGTGAGAGGGGACGGGGACCCCGGAGAGGAGAGGCGGGACCCGCCGGACGGAAGGGCTGGAGATGGAGCCCACCAGGAGCTGCAGGATTTGGTTTTCCCTTCCTCAAGCACAGACCGGCCGCTAAAGAAGCTGAAGAAGCCGGCGTCTTCGGGCAAAGAGGGCAAACCTCTGCCCGCCGAGAATCTGCTCACTCTGCTGAAGGAGCAGGAGGAGAGGAAGAAGTGTGTGATCTGTCAGGACTGTACCAAGACGGTGGTGCTCCTGCCCTGCAGACACCTTTGCCTGTGCAGAGACTGTACAAACATCCTTTTGAAGCAGCCCATATACCAACAGAACTGCCCTCTCTGCCGGCACATGATCCTCAACACGATGGACGTCTATCTATGAGGGACCAACGGAAATGACCCGTGGATGTCCGACAGCAAACGCCTCACAGCCTTACAGTAACAGCAATGAGTGAAATGATAAGATAGTTTATACCTCATGTGACATAAGCATAATCAGAATAATCCCTAAAATAGCAAAACTCCTATTCTTGGCTTTTCCACCTAGCTACAAACATATTCAATCAACTGCTAGAGGTATGGTTATCTTTGTCCTGGAGTTTGTAACAAATGGTTCTGAAGCAGGAGAAACTGTTTCCATCTCCCCGTGTGGGAAGGCAAAAATGTGAAGGCGGCAGCTTATTGCTCACTCTGTGTTGATTGAGTTTTCTAGAACGTCACCAGACTCGTTTGACTAAATCTGGCCTCAGATGCCTGCAGAGGAAAATAGTAAAAGCACGTGCTGTGACCCAATTCCAGGCTGAATACTAACTGTATGTATCAACCACTTTTGGTCAGTCCTACTTTTAAATACATTCTGAGACAGCTTTTTGTTTACTTTTCCGTTTCTGGATGGAGTTTTGTCCCGTTATCTCTGCCAGTGACCGTGGGATGACTGTGTCCATCAGAAGAAGCCCACATGCATCTTTCAGTGGTTAAAACAGCAAAAAGAATGTTTTTCTTAATGCTCATGAACGAATGGCTCTTCCTCGGAGACTAAATCCCACTTTCAGTTGTGTTACCATGGTAACCTAACTGTGTATATCTAAAACCGATGGATGTAGTGACTTTTTAAGTGTGTATGTATCCAAAAGAGAACTGAATCTACACATTTACAGCTAAACAGCACCTAAACACACACCTTACAGCTGGGCTGCCTTTGGCTTTGGATGCAAAACTCCTGCTTTGCTTGTTAGTATGGTGGTAGATTTTTTTCAGAGTATTTCATATTCTGCTCGCCGCACTGTTTGGTCCTGTTCAGATGCGGCCTGGATTTAGGACATGGCGACAGTGTCTGCCACCCAGAGGACTTAGTTTTTTTCGTATTCCCTTTTGTGCCACGCTGAGCCCTGGGCGTTGTAACGTTTACCACCGCCGATGTCTTAAAATGCGCGTTCGGTGGGTCAAGCTGTGAAAAGCAGAGCAAAACTGTGCCGCACCGCTTGAGCGTGCAGATGATTCTCCATATGCTGAAGCTATGAGTGCTGTTAGACCCCCGGAGACATTTCTGTCTACCTCTGACCGCAGGAGGAGATGCTATGACCCCATCACCTCTTGAGATTTTCAACTGGGACCTTTGCTTTATCCCTGCTTTTTGACCTGTCGATAGGCCCTTTTCCAGTCACCCCCCTAATCAAACAGTCAATATGTTTTGACGCAACAGTTATCTGTTGTAAAAAAAAGAAGAAAAAAGGACCATAAGCAAATAAGGCTTCACTGTTTAACCAGCTTTGGCTGCTCATGCTTTTCATGCCCAGGCTTTTGATCTGTTTCAAGTTTCAGTTCACAACAGAAATTGTGTTTTGGGTCATGGGTGATGTGGGATCAGATTTATAGGCAGAGGAAAGTTCCATCAGACATATGGCTATGTTTACTTTTTTTTTTAAGATTCTTTTCTTAACTTTTCTAAATTTGTAATTGTGATTTGATGATTGCTCAGTAACTGTGTGTGACTTGTGTAGTATCAAATCCAAACGTCGCCCTTTGCCCTTAGCTTGATCACACAGATACTGATGAAAGAGGGCTGAGTGAGGTTGTAAATTATTTCTAGAGACTGTGGTTGTGACAGACTGCTCCTCAGGTATTTCTTAAACACCAACGGCATTCCTTACATGGGACTGCGGTGGACAGAAAGCGCCTCGGACGAGGGTCATCTGTTGCCACCTGCAGTGTGTGTGAACGGTGTGTGACGACTGAGTCGAAAATGTGAACGCAGCATGTTTTTCCAAAAGTGATGGCTGCCGTGTAACTCTCTGTTCACAATAAAAGAACAAAAATGTCTTTGATTCTTTTTTTTTATTAGCTAAATGCAACATTAGAAAGGCTCTTACATCCTCACTCTGACAACAGATTATTTTCTTTAATTATTCAGTCTGTAACATGTTAGCCAAATTATTACTTTCTAATAGCAAATTAAATTAGCCAACTTTGTTTGCTAAAGAACAAGGAGACTAGATTATATGGAGAGTCTGCTCACCAACTACAGGGTGTCACCAGTCAGCACGCAATTACTCCCAAACATGGATGTTGTGATTTCTGTTTACCCGAGCAGCTAATTCTACAGAGACATCAAACTGGAAGATACAAAGGCAATGGTAAAAAGAAACCAAAAGTTTAGTTTTTAAGAGAAAACTGAAGGAGAGTAGATTAGGAGTGAGATCACGGTGGTTTATAGTTTGAATGACCAAAAAAAAAGTCCCATGGTCATTTTTTTTCTTTGAAAAAAAAGAAGCATGGTGATGAAAAGGAACGAGGGTGACAGAAGCCCATTTTAGTTTTTTTGTGTTCACAACTACTTTCCAAAGATTTGTTCTTTTGACCGGATTCGAAAAGAGTAGAAAACAAATCAGCCTCTCACCCAGATTCCATCATCAACAACAACTGAAGGCATCTCTTACCAAGATGTAAGCTAAAATGAAAATCAGATTTTCAGATTTTGGAAAATCTCTTTAGCATCGAAAATGTGCTATTTCAGTCACAGATGGCGCGTGAACTCAGAGGCCCGATAAACAACCTCTCTCAGCCTAACTCCGTGCTCTCAGTGCTGGAAATGAGCCCCATCTGGCCCTCCGTGTGCCACAGTGTTAAACAGGACTGCGGGGAAAAGAACCATTTCAAAAAGTCTCCTCGGAGCAGTCAGAGTAAAAAAAGCACGGCAGGTGAAAAGCTCCTTTTACAAACAACAAACACATTTACCTTCCAGGTTGGGGTTTTTTTGTGCAGCTCACAGTGACGGTGCAGCTGGATTTAAAAAAAAAAAAAGGTCATTACTCTGATCACTGCCACCTGTGGGTTCCTCACCATCACAAATCACATTAGGAGGAGCACACATCCCGCCTGGCCCCCGGGAGTTTTTAGATCTCCTCATATGGAATGCAAGGAGAAAGTATGTGGACACAGAAGATTAGGGACTCCTTTAGCGAAGATCTCTGACACCAAAGATAATTTGGAACTTGAAGCCAGAGATATTTCCGCTTTTATGTCCTGGAGTGAGTCGGGATAAAGGGACCGCTGTGTTTGTGGGGGCTTCATGGTCAGTTGGGATTCCTTCTACAAACATGACGATTTATCAGAGCCGAGAGGTTTACAGCCTCCATCTGGTTCCCACTCTAAAAATATCCACAGCTATGCCCAAGACTTCTGCTAAAAAAAACTAAAAGAAACATCATTGGAGCATTGTCACATTTTACAGCTGAGTCATTGGCTGTTGGAGGCATCTACGACTCAGCAGTATTCCTGAATTCTTACCCACTTCAAAGTCTCCTCTTTAAAAAATGGCAAACTGTCCACCCTGCAAAAGATCAGAAACAATTCAGAGGCTGTTTATTGTCTCCTGACCTCCAAGTTGAGCCTCAGCACTGTTTACGTGTCTGCTGTGAATAAAGGCCGCGTTAACAGAGGAGAGGATGTTTGGTGTCGGGAGAAGAGCAGGAAAGAGTAAAAAAGCAAGAGGAGCTGAATACTTCAGGGAAGCGACCTCCTCCCTTTGACCCCGGTGGTCCTGGCCGCGAGCAGTGTGGGAAAACCGCCGAGCGCCAATCGAGCCCCGTTTTTCTGTTTATCGCCGCTATATTTATCTCTCACGCCTGAGCCTTTACTTCTGCATCCTCTCCACATTGTGAGCTTCAATTTTTGTTGTTTAAATGAGCATAAAACCTCCATTAAACCTCCTCAAGCATGCTAACGGGAACAAGAGGAGAATATTCCTGCATGAATGAGCTGGAAGTGTTGAGCTGTACTGGCATGGTGCAATGCAGCTCAGTAGAAAATAAAGGTTTTGTCAGGATCATATTGTGTAAAGAACAATACATATAGACAAATGTCTATAGTTAGAGGTGTTATCAGGTTTTAAAACTTTTATTTAAAAGAGATACGACACAATTGAATATTGGAACTTTTAGTACTTGTGCACAGTCATGCTGAATAAGAGGATTAATCAAGGTTTGATAATATTTTAGTAAAAAGATTTTTCTGTTCTCTGTTGGACTCATTTACACAATAAACAGCCGCTAAAGTTTCCGACACAAACACAGGAAATGTTAGAACCCCCCAAAACGTGCATTCATATCTGTAATCAGTGGTGAGAACACATCCTCCCTCTGTGGTCTAATAAAGATGGTTATGTTACCATCTCTGGGGCACATAAACCATTCATTATTTACGCATTTACTGTATAAAAATTTGATCATTGCAAATTCTTTTATACGTTTATAATGAGCTGACGGGGTAAAACCAGTCCCTTTAGTCATCTGCCTGCTTCAGTAAGCCCCTGAAGTGCTTCACAAATGTGGTTTTCAATCTTGATGATGTTCCCCTTGTTTCACATTTACAGCGGATTAAATATACTGAAATGAATAAACAAGTCCACATGAAGGCAAACTCTTTATGTTTAAGAGCAATTGATACAAAAATATTGGGTGTGTTTTTGTTTAGTATTTGATTGAAAGCTGACACAGGCATCATCCAATCCCAGTCCTCTCGTTTATGAACCAACAGTTGTCTCAATTTATCGATGCCGTCAGGCCCCATCAAACACATCATCGGGTAAAAAACTGTTTAAATTGCTGGTAAATGTGATCAGTCATGTCCAGATGGTGCAAAAGTGCTTTTGATTTGATTTGAGCTTGCAGTGTGAGGAGTGGTGCAACACCGCCCCCTACTGGACGGTCATCTGTGTCCTCCTCTGCTGATGACGTCAGCTCCTCTGGTTCCAGCTGCATGGCCCCCCGTGTCCCCAGGCTCAGATACGGGGATTAAAGTGTCAAACAACCAAAACTAAACGTTTAACAGCACATTGAGTTTAGTTTTAGGGTAAACCTTTATTCATAGGACACTATTATAAAATACACTTTTGGAAGCTACAAAGCATGGCTGCCATTATTACTCATTAATTTAATCTAAAGATGGAAATGTGAGGAGAATTTATTGATCTGTGGTGGCTGCTGTAGACATGTCTTACTCGCCTTATTGATGTATATCATCATCTATAAAGGGGTTGGGGGGATCCCAATTGCTACTATGCGTCAAAATCCAGCAACAAACAATCATCCATCCATTTTCTAAACCGTTTATTCCTAAATGGGGCTGTGGGGGGACTGGAGCCTATCCCACTAGTCAATGGGTGAGAGGCAGGGTACACACAGCACAAACAATCAATATTTAGCTATATAATCACCCAGAAAAAACAAAGTATCAATACGAAAGACCATTATTTTCATTCCTGAGTTCAAATACTGATGCTGACATAAGGGTTTTGCTCAGGTTTATGATATCATGATGCCAAATGTTGTAAGGGAAATGGTGGCATGTTTAGCAAAATAATTATTGAATTCTGACTGGAGTTGTTTTTTTTTGTAAGAGCGAATGACTTCAGAAGCACTTTGAAGTTCTCCAAATATCTCAGGTTCACAAGAATGAAACAGACAGTCTGATGATACTGCCCCGGGTAACAGCAGAAACTCTGGTAAAAGTCTTCACGCCCCACTTCAACTTCTTCACTGCTTTCCCAAAAGATACAAGCAGACTAGTTTTTCTTTCAAGATTGGGAAGAAAACTGGGAATTTGAAAGTAATTGACTTTTATGCACTTAACTGTTTATTTTCTTAATATTCTTAATATTCTTAATATAATATAAACTTGTTCATTTTTCCAACAGGTAACGTTTTGTAGATAAAAAGTCCCGATAGAATAAACTCTTTGGTCATGAATATAGTCTGAGTCTTTGTGATTAAGTTGTGGGAAGCTGTGCATGCGTTTGGTCACCCACAGGAAATCTGATTCCGCCATCTCAGAATTCATTGCCATGGCCCTGCCTGTATTTACTGGTGTAAACATTCATCCTCACAGCGCACTCATTCAGCCAAACAGACACCCCACTGCCTGTTCTGAATTGTGTGATGTAACTGTCTGCCTGGATTCAAACATTTATAGAACAATTTGCAGTCAGTCAGCAAATGGAAATAACTGATTGATGCCAAGGGAGGATTAATGAACTCCCTGGAACTGTAACTCCGCTCCAGAGGGAATTGCTACCAGGAAATATTTGGAATATAATTATGGTGGTATTCTCAGGAACAAGGGAGGAATAATATTTCTTCTTGTCTTAGATTGTATATATGATTGATAAAGAAAATAGCTGAGTTCTGGTATTGTCAGAGTTCACATTCCTTTCATTAAATGTCAGAAGGTGGAGGCAGTAACTGGAAGTGGAAGAATAATTAATAAGATCACTGTCGGGAAGAAGGAGACCGTGGTGCAAGTTTACCAGCTCACAGTGTTGAAATGTCCTTTTGGTGAAGCTGTTAGACAGATGTAAACAGTGTGAATCCGGTGGACAATGAATATTTTCCATCCCGTTTTCATTTTTTCATTTGCTGAGGTAGCTGTCTGCCTTTGGGAATAAGTACCAGAGGACCACTAATAGAAATGTCTCATGATGGCTGATCAGTCGTCTTCCAGAGATTGATGACGCCTATTTGAAATTAGCTGAGGTTCTTTTATGTTTTTTTAAAACTTTTTTACTTTTATGTGCAGCTTTATACTCTGATATCATCTCCCTTAATGAGGGAAATACTACCGTTTTACCTCACTTACCTCTCCAGCTTTTATCCCCTACCGCCAACCCTTCAAAGCAGCATAGGATTCTGAAATAATATAAATTGCAATCTCCAAAGGTAAAAGGTCCAATCCCCACATTTTTATCTCTACAATTTTATCACTTCAATAATGAGACCTAGTCAGACTGTTTCCTTTATAAAAAGGTGAAACTTAATATAGAAAAGATATAAAAATGTTTTCCCACTTTCTGCTGTGATTCTGCTTTTCACAACCCCCCAGTTACATATTGTGATGGTTTTTGAAGGACACATATACTGAAATTGTAGAGTAAATACAGTAAATGTGTACATTTTGTATGTTACTGGTTAACACTTAAAGAAAGGAAAGGAAGCCCATTCAAAAGATTGGACACCGCTTGAGGATTGGAAGTCATAAATAACAAACACCATGTCTCAGAGGTTTGATTTTCTAGCTGCGTTTATGGCCTTCACAAGGAGAACCCAGGTTTTAAAAAGTACTGCACTCATTTTGTTTTTAACAAATCTTACTAATAACCTTCCGCTTCACCGGAGTCATATATTCCTAAGGGCATAATCTATCATTCCTCACAGAAAATCAATTCCTCTGCTCGTAATATAATAATAGGCAGTGGTGAAGAAAACAGCTGTAAGCATTACCAGAAAGCTAATGTCTGAGAGCAGAATAAATGTCGAGGCATTTTTTTAAAGATCTGATGGAATCTTTTAGTGTGCAGCCATATCTGCACAGTGGTGGTTCTGAGGGCAAAACATTTCCTTTGACGTTTACACAAAAAAAAGACACATATGCTGAAACAAGTTCTGAACTGACAAATCGGAAACATCACTCTTTGAAGAAATAAAAGCATAAAAGAGAATCCTTAAAGGTTAAAAACGACCATATCTGGGACAGCAGGTCAGTGGTTCAAATCCTGACTTGGGCACTTACCCAGTGAGGGTTCCAAGTTATGGATGAAAGCATCTGCTATTAACATAAACTTCTAATGAGCCGTACCCAAAACTTAGATCAATTACAATAACTCCTGAATAAGGACTAAAATTATTAAAACTGGTGTGCTTACCACAGCAATGCCAGCCTTTTTGTTTTAAGCTCTTTGCCCTTTTTTCTTTTTGTTTTGACAAAAGCAGAGGCAGTTAAATGGAATAATGTAAGTTTTATTTATCTTTTGCCTTTGATACCAAAGTACCAGAAACCATAAAAGTCCCCTGACTGTATACAAAGTATTCAAAACTAGCTGTAAAGATGTGTACGCTTTCTACTGAAAACTAAGAAGGCATAGAAAAAACTACTTTTAGTTACAGCAGGAACAAAACAAAAAAACAGGATATTGATTCTTTTTTTTTTTCTAAGAGAAGAAGAGAGGGTGAATGTGAAGTAATTAGAAAGTGGTTCAATGCTCCAGGCAGTCACCCTCATTTGTCTTTATTTCCAACATGAATGAGCATCGAGGCCAAACACATGCCCCTTTGGAATATTCCATGAAGTCTAAAGATTTATTCATGTTTAATGTGAGCTGTGTGGACAGCGAGGGGAATCAAAGTGCAATAATGGCATGAGAGCAGTTTAAATCTGTGGCCTGAAGCTGTCTGAAGGCCTCTGTCCCAACATCTGTTACCAGAATTAACAGTGACAGCAGTTTTAAGCCGGAAAGTGAAAAACGGACAGAGAATAAATCGTATTCTTAAGCGTAACTACCCCACACCAGCATACAGTCTGCTTTTCAAGTAATAGTGCGTCTGGTGTGTTTGTACTGGTTACAGTAACACAGCTGTACCAAGAAGTCACAAGAAAATTCACCTGTCTTTATTTAAAAAGGTGGAAAACATTCTCTGGTTCGTTTTCCACAGTGGGATCAGATTCTAAAGCTGTTTCGTGAGCTCGTGTCATGCAAAGACGGCAGAGTTTTTCCAGTCCGAGTACACCAGGAAGCCGGTGAAGGTGCTGTCTGTCTTGGTGCTGGAGTAGAACCCGTTGTACTCCGAGAGGGCCATCTGGACCCACACCTGGTCGCCGGGGACGAGGTGGAGCAGCGAGCCGCCCGACAGGGACGCCGGTTTGGGCCAGTTGCCGTAAAACTGAAAATAGGACGCCATGGCGTGCCCGTTCTTCATCAGGTCGAACTGGAGGCTGGCGCGGTAGACGGTGGCGTGCACGGCGAAGTAATAGACCCCGGGGACTTTGCAGGTGAAGCGTCCGGTCTCGGTGTTGTAGTCCCCCTGCTCGTTGAGCGCCACCGTGTCGAAGCGGACCACGGTGTCCCCCGCGTTCAGGGGGAGGGAGAGACCCTGAGACAGCTTCACACTGAAGGCTGACTTGGGAGCCACCGCGCACTCCCCCGGCTGACCCCTGTCCCCCTTTTCTCCATGGTCTCCTTTGTCTCCGGTCAGGCCTCGCACTCCTGTCTCACCTGGAGAGGAAGAGGAGCACACACATGAGCACCAACAATTATCGAGAACTTTCCCATAGTCGCAAAAAATAATCACCTTGGTATCCTGCGTCCCCCTTCTGGCCTTTCTCCCCCGGGGCGGCATCCCTCCCGTCCCGTCCATCTCTTCCCGGCTGACCAGGGCCACCATGAACCCCGGGAGAGCCAGGGATGCCGGGATGACCAGTACACAGGCTGGCAGGGATCTTGTTGTCCTCCAATTGGCTGGAAAAATGGACTTGCAGGATAAGGACCGAGTGCTGGAAGAGCAACAGCCTGAGCGAAGTCATTACGGTGTCAGGGCTGAGAGAAAAAGAATAGAGATGCTGCAGTCATGAAGAAAAACGTAAAGTTTGGTCTGCACAACAGAGTGGAAAACTGTTCTGATAGAACAAATGTGCACCACAAATCCCAGTGTTACTGTTTTATACCATATTAACTCTCTATTGAGATCAAACTAAAACTAAATGTTCAGTTTATTTATTATTGTTTCTGCATGTGTGAGCACATGTACTGTACTGACCATAAGAAAAAGTAGAGAAGAAAAGTTGAACGCAGTCGAATTTCCTACATTTCTGAAAATCGTATAAAACACTCTTTAAATTTACTCTTACGGACTTAACATTTCAAGACCTTTGGTGTTCTCCTGAGAGGCAGTTAAAAACAAAGATGATATCACACTTTTGGAATCACAAATGCCGCATCCCTCAGTATGATTGGAATTTTTATTTCCTAATGAGAAGTTTTAACACTCTTGGTTTCAAAACAGATGTTTCTAATAAAAGCCTGTTGCCAGTCAGGCTACAGGGACACTTTCTCTGTTTTCCTGTCTGTGTGTGGACATTGATCAACTCCTACTGAGCTGTCAGATTGTTAGTTTTTGCTTGTAATGTGTAACAAACAAAGCTCAGTGCTCATCTTTCTCGCCTTTTACAGTGTGGTTGAGATGCCCTAACGGTTCAGAACAGACAAGATACAAGCTGCTCTATGCTGTCACCTTGTTGTATCACTGACCTGAGAGCAGGTCGGGCCTCACAACACCGTAAACTAAACTGATGACCGAAGCAGGAAGAGGATTTACTGCTGTCCGACAGCTGCTTTGATGATGGAAACCAACTGTTTGTAGAGTGCAAGAGTAATGAGAAAAGTCCGATTTTGTTATCTATTAGCGGGGTCTTCTAACTGGATGTCAGAGTTTACATCCACAACAGCTGCAGACGGAGAGAGAGACAGGAGGGAGGAAGAGTGAGAAAAATGAGGGAGGGACAGAGAACTGCATGTCAGCATTCCTGGCAGAAGTGGAGAGAAGACTGGAGGAAAAATAGTGGAGAGTCTGAGCAGCTGTCTGCCACCACTCCTCAGTGGCCCTCAGATGATTAGAGACATGAATGTTTTTAAGAAAGGAACAACAGAGGGACCCACAGTTTACTGACCAAAAACACGAAGGTTGCTCAGTCCTTTTACTAAGTTCGAAAAGAACGTATAATTCATTTTACATTATACAATATTCACATTTGTGATCATATGAGCTCATACAGTGAAGACACATGACTGAGAGCCACAGTTTACTACGGCTCTGTGAGTTAGAATGGACACCATAAAGAAACAAAGAAAGAAACAAATAAATAAACAAAGAAAAAAGAAAAATGTGTCTGAAAACAAGACTCCAAATTGCTGGAAACAATGACCTGGAGCATTTAAACCACTGCTGATGACTCAAAACCAAAAAGACGATTGAAAACAACTTCAGAATCAGTCTAGATGTATATAGAATATTCAGTCACTAAAAATGATGTTGCTAGAACTACAAATAGATGTTGAATCACTACAAAACTGCCCCCATGAAAGACCACACAACAGAGATACACAAACACCACAAAAAGACACAAAGCTATAGCATTGCAAACTGTACTCACACAACTAGACCACAAATGTTTCAAAACTGCAACTGACAAAAAAAAAAAAATCAAAAGCATCAAAATTGTTCTTGAAACAGCAATATTTTTTCACAAGAATGATCAACTATGCAACAAAAGAAAAAGATTCAGAATCATGCCTCACAACCAAACCCATCTACATCATGCTGCTCTGTCTGTGGGAGGGTGGGTTTTGCACCACTGTGTTCATGTTTCAAATGAGGAAATTAGAACAGATTTCTTTGTGAGTCAGAAACCAAGGCGATGCAGTCATTAGAAAGTATTTTTGCATGTTGAGTGGGATTTTCATTTAGACACTTTTCTGACAAAAGTCTTATCGAGTCAAAGTCAAGTTTGGGAACCTAGCACAGTTTAGCCACTATTTATCAGCTATTCAACTTTAAAGTTATTAACTCATAAATAATGACAGAAATGCTTTTCTACAGTTTCCCGAGTGAATTGAGTGTACATTTCATAATTCCGTGTAAAATCCAGAAGTTATATCTGAATAGTAGACGGTGACACATAAATGAGTTTTTACTGGGTGGTCTGTGGAGAAACAGAGGACCTCAGTGCTTTTTGTTTCCTAAAAAAAAGGGTGGGTTTTGCACCCAGAACCTCTTACTGGTGTCCTCTGTTAGGGTGTAATTCATTAGATTTAGTTCAGGAAAGAATCTCAATCTTACCAGGATGCAAATGAAATCTTCAAGCTCTGCTGTTGACGTCTGTGCGTCCAAGACCGAGGAGCCGTTTCTCTGGAGCCGAGTCTGGCTGGGAAGAAGAAGTGAAAAGAGATGGTAATGAAATCCAATTACAAACTGGGGTGGGTGGGATGGGTGGAGCCCTGGGTGGAGGAGACAGAAGGAAAATATGTGATGTCAATCCAGTACAAACAAAAAGAGAAATATAACAGAATAAACTGTGACCAAAACCAGTACAAAGGAGGGGGGTATGTAGGGATAAGAACAGTAAAAGGGAGGGGGAAAAGTGGAGGAATGTTGCATAATGGGGGAACTCTTCGGGACATGACCAGAGTTCATCAGGCTGTGGTCAAAACAGAGAAATGTTACCCGAGTACAGCTGCAGCAGAGAATGAGCCGGACTTTATGATGCAGAAAACAAAAGGACAAACTTTGCCCACAGAGGGGAAAGCAGGGAAAAAAAAAGCCCCCTCATTTTTCTTCATCTGCATCCAGGATTTATGCTGTTTACCAGAACAAGATAGCATCTTTCGCACTAATATCAGTCTTCCATGGCAAGACTCACCCCGATTTCCTCTGAAATCTGCCAGTGGAGGCACAAAGATGATAAAGCAAGAAGTATTGATATCTTATTGGCAAAGTATCCGAGCGTGAGCTGTTTCCACTTTGCAGCACCCACGCCAACAATAACACATATTTGCGTTATCACGCAAGTCTGATCTCAAGAGGCTCGAAGCAAAAACTAAGGATGTACTGTACTACAGTCCAACAACCTGCAGAGGGGGAGCAGAAGATTCAGTCTGGGTTCTTTCTTTAAAAATGTTGCCTCATAAAAGTGAATCCAGCCATTTTTCTTCAATCTTTTTACTGAATGCTCATCCAGGATTAAACATCAAATCAAGTATTGTGTTGAATCTGGATGAAATAAATGATCTGATGGGTTTTTACTGCAACCATGAAGCTGACATTAGTGGATCTGAGCCACTCCAACAACTGTTTTGAAGTTTCAGCTCCTGCTCAGAGAGGGTGGGAGGATAGGATATGTTGTAAAATACTCAACTGACTTATGACCTGATACTTTTAATGGATTCCAACCCCGCTATAAAAGCTTAAATGATGCTCATAAATGATTCCACACAATGACTTTGGTGACAGTGCTGCATTGATGTAATTATCATTACATAATCGCCTCCTAGTTCATACACATACACCCTCTAGTTTCTTAATTATTTTTGCAGCGACATGCGTTAGAATAAAGATTAAACGTCTGTGAGTTGACACATGGGTCTGCTTAGAGTTTTAGCAGTAAAATTCAGATTTTATGGGAATGTGGTGAACAGCGGTTCTTTTGAACACCAGCTGAATTCCCACCATCAGAGCTTTGTGAGCTGTGCAGTCAGCAGACTCCTGTGGAGGCAGCGAGCTGTAACTGAAGCTAAGACTCTCATCTAATTAGCAGCCCCAGATTCAGCACATTCTGGGTCTGCTGCAGTCATTTCCTGTAAGAAACCGTAAACTGCTGCCGAAGATTTACCGTCAATTTGGCAATTCAACAGTTTGATTTCGCCTCCACTGGGTGGTGATAAAGTTACTGGGGGGGGGAAAAAAAAGCAAAGTTTGAGATAGACTGTTTGAGAAAAACGGAGCCGAGACAGGAAGGCGTAAAGGAGACATGTTTATTATTTAAACTATCACTTAAATAAAAAAAGTGCATAGAAAATAAACATGATTAGAAACTTTTCTTTTTACACCTATGTACAACTTTGTTTCCTAATTATACATTCAACCAAGTAGTTTGTGGTTTATTTTCACGGTGGTGGTTTTCCTTCATTTTGTTGACGTGTACTGAGAGAACACTGTTTAATGGGAGCAACTAGGACTGTTGTGAAAACCGTCATTACACGGAGCGGGAGATATGGATATAAGACTGAAGCTCATGGCAAAAATAAAGCAAGCCCGTCCATGTTCACCCCAGCCGGCCTCTTTTCCGCACACCTTACTGTGCGCTCCCTCTGCGACACCACATCCTGTCATAGGCTGACGACTTCTATACACAACAATTTTTAAAAAAGTACAAACACGTGTTAAGTACTTGTCCGACCTCTCCGTAATCTTGACTTGTATAAGAACGATTCAGGGTGGATTCTCCACAAAATAAATAAATTAAATGTTTTCAACATCAGCATTCTGACTTTCTATGAAAACAGTACATGATAAGTACAACCAAAGCTTCGGAGGTGTTCAGGGAGACATGAGGACTTTTCCAGAAGGAAACAAAATTTAAAAAAAAAAAGGAAGAAAGGAAGCGTTTTGGTGGTATTGTTAAACTCCAGGTCAGTCTCCACAAACCAATCTCTGAATTTTTTACCACATCAAGTAAGCCATCTAAAAAAGTCCCTGTTAACATAAAAAAAAACAAAGTAAACAAACAAAAAAAAAAAACATTCACTACAACAATCGGAAAAAAAACAACATATGAATGACCTCAAGAAGTTCACAACCACAGTAATACAGTTACATTTGTCATCACATAAAAGAAATGCTCTGTTCCAGAAAGAAAAGAGAGACTGCAGCGCTCCTCGCTGGTGGAGGAGCGCTCACAGGCACAGCAAAATTTGAACTGGATATCAATATATAAAAGAATGATGCACGTTAGATTTATCTGATAGTACTGTAACACAAAACCATTATAGAGTACATTGAAACATTGCTATTAACCATTATAAATCCGCTGTTTTGCTACTGTAACTAAGTTTGTCTGTCCATTCCATATATTGTATAGATACTAAAGTACAAGAAATGACTATGTATGTTTCTGTATAATATTGTTAAGTATTTATACTATAATTACAGATGATGACAGAGAAGGGCCACTGGCGTGGCGTGGTAAAATGTCCAAAGAAACAACAGAGGCCATTTCCTTCTTGATTATTCGCTGCCCAAAACGGTTAAACTAACTGACGTACTGATACTGAACAGCTCTGACCCTGAAAGAGCAGGAGCAGAGCCTGTGAATCGTGAGTCGTGAGGCCGAGCGCCGGTGACCGTGTTAACACCGACGCCGGCCTGAAACTGTCCGAGCTAAAAACCGGTGAGAGCCTGAAGTCCCTCTGCTGTTCTGTATCGTTCCCGGGAGCCGAAACTGACACTGCTGCCACCGCCCCAGCTCAGAGGTGGCGTTTACGTCTTCCAAATCTACCTGGGAGGTTACGAAGGAACTCAAAACAAACACGGCTGACAAAAGTATCACCCCCCCCCCCCCCTCAATCACGAGACTGGCGATGCGGAGGGCGGAATATACATTCATTGTTGACCTTAGCAGCAGAAGCCAGGGCCCTGGGGCCACGGCGAAGGCCGCCGGGCTCGGAGAGCAAACCCGCCGGGGAGGAGAGGGCTGCTGGTGCGGTCCCTGCCTTCACTTTTGTTTAAGAGAAAGGATCAAGTGCACTTTGCTAGAGCCCCAAACACCAGGGTCAGGAGTGGCCGGAAGCCTGAGGGGACAAGCTCAGAGCACCCCGAGTGACCGCCTGTGTGCTTGTGGTTTCAGCATGGGAGTTGCGTTGTCCGTCTGGACAAAAGAGCTGCGTTTTCGACGTCTATTCAGTGCCTGCGTTCGTGGGCCACGTTTTGAGTTTCTGTTCACAGCAACCAGGGGGTAGTGCGGGAGTGGCGGCCGTGGCCAGGTCGGTGTGAACGGCAGACCGGGTCAAACAAAGGGACGAACAGAGTGGCGGGACTCACTCTGGACACAAAGGCTTGAAATTAAGGAGAGAGAGAGAGAGAGGCATGCTCATGTAAAACTAAGGCAAGCGTCAAGGAGGCTGGACAAAACTAAATGGTTCTCGAATACTGGTGAGCGCTGTGCGTTCACCGAGAAAATAGCGGTTTTCAATGAACTAATTGGCTTGAAGGAGATATGATGAGTGCTGTTTGGAGAGTTAAAATAAAGGCACCTCTTCATTATCGACCAAGCCTGCAGAGGGACGCGTCACCTTCAACTGACTGAACTTTTTTTTATTGCGGTCCCAAAAGAAAAATAGATAGCTTGACCATAATTGGCTGCGAGCCGGTCGATCCGTGACGGACAACCGAACCACTTGGATGTGACGGCCTGGGAGCGGACTTTAGGATTCTCTATGAGATGTGGTATGGAGACGATAAGGCTGGAGAGAGGAGATACCTGCTATGGATCGACAATCTAAACTCTCTCAAGTGCATAATAATAGTTCACATGACTGCCATGCTACCAGCTCCAACTGGAACAACGGAAACAAACAGAAAACACCAGCTCCAGCCAAATGGCCTGGGGTAGATAAAGAGCTACTGGTGGACTGAACTAAAAAGAAAAAAGGGGGTGGGACCAAGCCACAGACCAGCGTCAGTCTTTGGAATAAAAGGAAAACATTCAGGCTACAAATTAATGAATGAAAAAAAACAAATACAACAACAAAAACAAAATTTAGCTTTGAAAAGGCAGTGGAATACAAAACATAGACCGAGCATTAGTGTTTGTAAACCTCTATTTCCTACAAAAACAGCAATAAAATAAATATGATTTTTTTAAAAATATAAATACCATCGTTAAGTGCTATTCACTAGTGAGTGCTTTTTAAGGTTTTTTTGTAGAAAAATATACATTATTTACATTTGTTTTGTTTTTGTTTTTTAAAAGCAAGCGTGATATTTCCCTGTCCGTAATAAAAAGACAGATAACAAACGACAAATAGGAAAAGAAAACATTTCTCCACAGTTAAGGTTATCACAACAGGCCAAGAAGAAAACAAGCTGTGTGAAAATTCAATTGCGCAACGTTTGGTTCTCTTACTGCTGTAATTTGGAACGTGACTAAAAAGTCCAAGCTTATACGATCACCAAAAAACAAGCTGGATAAGAACAACAGGAAGCACAAACTCTGCTCGGGGCCTGTGTCTGGAACACAGCTCCCAAAAAATCAGTTACGTCTACTCAAGCACATCAGTAGGTTTTTCTCTGGTCCCTCTGCTGTCAGTCCACCAGAATCTCTAGCTGCCTCTGTTTTGTCAGGCCGGAGGCTTCATCCTATCAGCAACACACCTACATGGCTATCCAAGCTGTCAATTCACAGATGGTACCAACCTCTGATAAGATCATTTATACCAATGGTCAAAAATAAACCTCTTTTCTTTACAGAATCCCCCCCCACCACCCCACCCCCCTCCGCGGTCTCTTTCTCTGTGGCCGCTGCCCTGCCTTTACGGCTCTTGATCGGCTGCTGTAAACAAGCAGCTCCTATTTACAGTGTCAAAATGTACACACTTACAAGCTTTAGAGAAGGTTCCAGTAGGTCATAACAGCTCTGAAGGCATCGGGGCACATTCAGACAAGAGAGATGTGCATCAAAAACATCCGACTTTGAGAAAACAAAGCAAAGAAAACGAACAAGGTTCTAATTTTCACTTCTAATAAAGTTACGGTTAAAAATCCCTTCAACAAATTGCACTTTGGTGTAAAATGGAACCGAGTTCTTTGATTTTTTCATTTTTTTTCCTCCTTCCAAGTTCACATACGTAGACCACAACATATTCCTAAAAAAAAAATAAAAAATTAAGGAGGATGGGACAATGTAAAAAATTATGAAAGGGTGACTTTAACATCCAAATATAAATAAAAGTTAATCTTGCAACGCTGTCATTTTGTCACTCGCCTCTGCAGGTGAAAGGTTAAACGTCAAGTGTAAATTAGACAAAAGGAGGCACAATACAAGTATGTTGGAATTTCTAGAGATGTCTCGTCCTCCAAAGTGGCCCTTACTGTAGGTAAAGCGGGACCACACCCGCTGCCTCTGCTAACGCCATCTGAGGCGGTTTGTGGCCCGGTTCGGTAAAAAGTCCCGAGCCCCCGGCCCCACGGCAAACCCCGGTGAGGAGGGCGCTTGGGGACGTTGTGGCACTGACGTTTAGATCTGGCCGTTAGTTGAGGAACTTGCGACACCTCTTCGCACCGCAGTTGCAGGGCAGCTTGTTGCTGGCGTCCTCGATGGGGAACTTGTAGTCGTACGTGAGCTCCTCTCCACAGTAGATGCGGCGAGAGGCGAAGATGACGATGTGCTTCTGGCCGTCCACAGTGATGACCCGAGAGAAGCAGTTGGGCTCGCAGGAGTGGTTTATGAAGCGAGCGGCGTTGCCGTGCACGGTGGCGTCGACCACCTCGTAGTCATCGATGCGAAACATGTAACAGCCAATCCCCTTTGAGGACAGAGAAGAGGGTTTTGTTTGATTCTCCGCTCTCGTCAAAGTGAACAAACTGAAAAGCAAAGCTCCACTTTGTGCTCCGGGACCTCACCTTTCCATCGTAGTACTTCTCCCGCTTGTCAGTGAGCACGGACCGAATGACAGTTCCAGAGTATTCGATGACCATCTCCCCATTTTCAATGGTTTTCTTGCAGAATAGACCCCGGCCATGAATAGGAGACCTGCCGAGAGGGAAGCAGACTCCAGATTACCCAGGTCTTCAAGCTCTTTGTTGTTCTGGGATTTTACAACCTAAGCAATTAAAATCATCGAGACTTTACGACAGATTAAAGTTGCTACTATTAAACTACAAATGGAAAAAACTTCACAACCAACGACACTCGTAATGATCGAACCTGTAAACCCCGACCGTCTCCTTCGAGGTGGCTTTCAGCTGTTTGAACCTCGCAGTGAGTGGCAGCTCCATGGAGGCGCGCCTAAAAACGGCAATAACATGCGTGTCAACACCATTATGTATTTTGTTTGAGCATGATTCTGTTGACCTGGCCACTTACCTCGCAGACCTGAGCTGCCCTTCCTCCTCCTCGTCTTCCTGGGGCTGGTATTCAGGTGGCTGACGATGTTTTGATGCCAGGAAGTTGAAGACGTCGAACACGGACCTCCTGGTGGGACGAGCAGTAAAACAGACACTTGTCAGAAGAGCAGTCGGGACAGGATTACAACACATAGTCGCCATAGTTTACATTCTTTATAGGAACATGGCGGCTCCTGGTTGCCTTGCCTCTCACCCAACGGGGGATGGCCGTGTGCGTGTGCTTATCTGCTCTCTGACCTGTGGTGGATTTCTGCACGGGCCGATCCGTGGGGGTTTAGCGGTGGTTCGTCCGATTCTTCGGGTTTGTGAAAGCGGAAACGGTAGCTACGGCAGTGCCTGGACCCGTACAGCTGTTCCAGCAGGAAGACCACGGCTTCGTGGACGACTCCCAACATCCGCAGGCCGTTCACACCTGCAGGGAGCAGGTAAAGCCCTCAGAATGACACAGTCTTCAACCCAGTTAGCTAACATGCAATGAGTTGAAGGATACCTTTGGTATCCTTCAAGAATTTTGTGGAATTCAAGTTTTTTGTGGTTCTTATTCTTGTCTTGCTTTTTTGTTTAGATTGCATATCTACAGAATGATTCCGTACCTTCAAAAGAGAGCTCTTTGAGTTGTGCGTTGGAGCGAGCTTCTTTCACTTTATCAGTCAGGGACTTCCAGGCCTCTGTAGAGAGACAATCAGCATTTAACAACCAGTGTGATGTTAAACTGTTCTGGGTTTATCATCATTTACTATACTTTCATGGTTGTAATATATGTGTACGGAAAAGTAAATTCAGGTTCAGTTCCCTGTGCTTCTTATTCAAATCCCGCTTTGTCAGGTTTAGCTCTCGTCTCACCTTCAATACTCTCACAGCGGATGTGGAAGCCATCCTCACTGCAGATTTCAAAGATGATGCCCTTTTTGGGTTTGCTATCCGAGCCAGACTCCCTGCTGTTGCCATCCTGGTTGGGTGGTGAATCCAAGGAAAGCGCCCCTGCACCTCCAGCTGCAGGTAATTTGTCTTTTCCCACTACTCTCCCTGGCAGAACGTGTCCTTCCATGGTCTTCTTTTTGCCAAGGACACTAAAATAATACACAAGTCAAGCTGCAGAAATCCTGTTTTGGCGATACGGTTGCAAAACGTGTGGAAATAAACGGGCATGTCTTACCCCTTATTGGTCACTTTGTCTGGAGGCTTGCCCGTATCCATAGGCTCAGGAGAGCTCAGCTCCCTGGAGCTGCTCCAGAAGGATAAGAGAACATACTTAATCTAAATTACTTTAAACACAGGACCATAAAAAGCTTTGACAGTTCTGAAGTTCGATTAAGGCAATACATTACACTTAATTTGGCCTAAAATAAATGTGTTGGGTTGTAAAGCAGTTATACCCTAATATTAGGGGGAAATACAAAAATAACATTTTTAAATTTCTCGTAAGGCTGCACATTATCAGCATGAAAATGTAATTGAAGTGTAAAAAAAATTAAATCACTGAGCCTCATTCCAAACAAAAGATTAATTATGCATTCAAATTTGGCAAAACTACAGCACATTTATTCCCAGTGCTCATCACACATGAACAAATTACCTTGGATTTGAAGGCGGGAGCTGCCCAGCAGAGCTGCTGCGATGGTCCTCTGCCTGGGAGGCTTTGAGCTTTTTACCGCTGCTCACGTCTGGACTCTGCCTGCTCCTCTTCGCCTTCTGTTTGCTTTTCTCTGTTCCCGAAAGTGTCCCTGACGCTGCTGCGGTGGAGTTAACTGCTCTCTGCTCTGCTGATCGGGGAATTGGCATGGTTCTACTGCTCTGGGAATGTGGAGGGGCGTGTGTTTGCTTGAACTTTCCAAGAACGCGTCCCTTGGCAGGACCTAGAGAGGTGGACAGGCTGGACGATAGAGCAGAGTTTGGACTGGGGTCCACGTTCTGAGGTGTCCCGACAGGCTGGGGCTGATGCTGCAAGTGGACATTATTGCCCTCCGTCTCCGCTTGCTGGTTAACCGCCATGCTGATGGTCTGTTGAGTAGGAAGGACACAGATGCTGCTGGCTATGGATGTCTGAACGGAGGAGCCGAGCTGTGACATCAGAGGAGCGCCTCCCGCTGACTGGAGAACCACTTGCTGATCCGACAGGCCCAAACCATGCGGAGCAGCTTTGAAAAGGAGGCTGCTGATGGAGCCGGTGATCTCAGCCGAGCTGAGGACAGGAGTGGTGAGGGACATTGTTCCGGGTCCAAGAAGGCCTGCGGATCCACTAGGGGGGACAGACACAACGTTCAACACGGACTGACTGGGGTTCAGGCCAGAGACAGTGCAAGGTAAGAGATGAGCCGAGTCGTGACCCAAGATTCCCGACTGTGTGGAAACAGGAATCCTCTGCTGTAGGAGGGAAGTGGGATCCAGGTACATAACCCCAGCGGATTTGGGCCTCTTGATAATATTGGGGACTTTGCGCTGTGAAGCGGAGAGGGAGCTCAACTCAACCAGGCCACCCGGTTGACCTGGGATGCTCGCGGTAATTTGTTGGGAGGACAGGTTGATGAGCGTCATGTTGGGGGGGGCAGCGTCTGAAGGAGCCAGAGTGGGCTGGCTGCGGGAGCGAGCCAACTTTTTGCTTTTCCTCGGCAGACGGGAGATCGGCCTTTTCTTTCCGTGAGCTGAGGCCAGCACAGCTGGGGAAGATGTCAGGGAAGAGGGACTGGAAACTATGGCAACACTGGGACCCAACTCGCGTGGTCTGCCAGCTTCTGACACCAGAATCTGGGATTGGTCGTGGGGCTGAGAGGGCAGGCCAATGAGAAGGCCGGAGGTGGTGCTGGGGATTCCTGTCTGGAAGCTTGCCTGCGTGGCTCCTGTGAAGGTGTGGATCTGAGACGGGTGAGGTATAGTGCCGAGCACTTTCCCGCTGGCAGGAAATATTTGCTGGGCTGGGGATAAACCAGCATTCAGACCCGTGGTAAGTGTCATGGGGCTCAGCACCGCAGGAGAGGAAGTGTCCATCACTCCTGTGGCGCTTATTTTTTGGGTGACACCGTTAGGGACCGTCTGAAGGACATACAGAGGCTGGAACTGCTGATTGACCACGATGAGCTTGTCAGGGGCTGGTTTGATGACCGGCGGGCTGGACACCTGAGCCTGAGAAGGTCCGGGGCCAGGCACTGGACTGGGGCTTCCCGCGGCTGCTGCTGATGCTGGGTGGAACTTCTGACTCTGAAGAGGCATTGAGGGAGAACTCGGCAAAACGGGAGTGGCAGTACTCCGGGGCACATCCTGATTAGCTGGAGGTTCAACCCCTTGACCGATGGCGGGGCTGGGAATGAACTGCTCAGGGGTCATGTGACCGTCCGTGTCCCTGTTGCCCAAAGCTGGACCGCCATGCTGGCTCTCTGATGGAGACACACCTGGACCAGATCTTTTCTTGTTGCCGCTCTTCTCTCCAGCGATGTTCTCGGGGTCAGAGTTCAGGCCTAGAATAGAGCGGTCTGAGGTATTTGAGATGAGACTCCCAGTCGAGTGGTTCTGACTTGTGCTGACGGTCGGGCTGCGAGTGGTCAGGAGAGAGAGGTCAGAGGGCAGCTCCAGGGGGAGATATGGCTCTTCTACAGATATGGAGCTACTGACACTACTCTCTCCGACCGCTCCCCCTTCGGCGCTGGACAGCGGCTGGGAGAAATCATTGAACAGCATGTCTTTACGCCTGCTGACATCTACTCCAACGTAGCCCTCGGTGAGCAGCAGCTCGGAGGACGACGACATGGAGGGCGTGTTTAAGACAAACTCCATGATGTCCGACGGCAAAATGTTCCCACAGTCGTCGCTGTTGTTGTTGTCAGAGTCGGATTTGAGCAGGTCTGTGCTGAGAGACAGCTGGGCCTCGATCGGGTCTTGACCCTGACTTTGTGGCTGGGACTTGCCCCCACCTCCAATAGGAAGACAGTTTTCCTTCTGGTTCTTCTTGCTTTCGCGTGTGTTGCCACTCACTGCTCCTCCAGCGCCGTCGGCCTCCTTGCCTGAGTCGTGCGCTTCGGGCTTCTCGGTGTGCCTGTCTCTGCCCCTCCTCTTAGGGGCGCTCTTGTGTGGGGTGGAAGAGGCGGTGGCTGTAGTGGTTGTGGTGCTGGTGGTGCAGATGCTGGTATCGCTCTCTGAGCCATCATCGACGCCATCAAGCTGGCCGATCCGCGGCTTACCAAGGGTTCTGTTAATCACATCAAACAGTGGGATTATAACTGATGCCAGAAAAAAAACTATAATAATAATAATTTCACATTTTCTTTTTTGGAAAATGTGTGTACTTACAAAGCACTAAGCATGTCCTCCTCGGCTTTTTCTTGAGCCCTTTGCTGCTGCTGCTCCTCGTCTTTCAGAAAACGCTGGAGCTGAGATCCCCGTCCCAGACACTGGTCTAAGCCTTCGATGGACGGGAGCCCCTCACCAGGGTTAATTACTGTTCGGGTGAAGTTGTAGTAATACGGGTCTTTGCTCCTGTGTTTCCCTCCTCTGTCTTCATCCTCTCCGCTGTCCCCCGATGAAGACGATGTGCTCATGTCATCTGCTCCGTCCACCTGCCCCTCGGCTGACTTCTTGCGGCCGCCGCTCCGCCTCTTGACCACGGCCGCCCCTCCGTCGCCGCTGCTGTAGAAGGGAAGGTCCTCTTCGCCGTACGAGCGAACCCCATAAAACGGGGTGAGGCCGAAGAACATGTTGGAACGCGCACGGGCGCTGCGTCGAGGGTAGCGCCGCTTGGCCGACCCCGACCCGTCGCTGTCGTCCTCGTGGTGCTTGTCCTCCATTCCTCGGTCGTGCTCGTCCTCCGGGCCGTCCCCCTCGTCCTCGGTGCACTGCGCCAGGAGGCCGCGGGGGTCTCGGAGGTCGCTGCGCGACAGCTCTTTGTGCAGTTCGTCCTCCTCCGTCTGCGTCTGGGTGTCGGACTCGGAGCTATCGCTGCTGCTGGGAGACGGCGAGGAGAACAGAGCGGGGCGTGCAGACCGGTGGGTCCCCTGTCCAGCAGGAGAGACGGTGGAGGCCGTGCTTGTGGGACAGGAGGACAAAGACAAGCCACCAATAGTACCGGTGCCGTTAGGATCGGTCGAGATATCAGTCTTCAGCGGAGCTGGAGCAGAAGGCTTAACGGATCTCTTTTTCTCTCTGGAGGAAAATGGAAGCTGATTGGTTGTCTGTTTAGACAGAGATTGCGTAGAGGTCTTTCCATCTTTTTCCAAAGCTGAGCTGGTCTGCTGTAGTAGACTGTCCAGACTAGAGCTAGAGCTGTTCTTCCTTTCTGGACAGGAGTAATTGTCCCTGATCTTTGAGGACGACCTTTCCCCTCCCGTGTTCTCCAGCTTCTCTCCCAGAGCCTTCCCGTGAGCCTTGGAGCTGTTTCCCAGCATTGGATTTTTGCTATTGCTGTTGTTGTACGAGCCGGAGTTTGGAGCGTGCGTGTTAGAGCTGCCTGTGGCTTTTGTGTTATTGTTAAGAAGTGGTATCTTGTTGTTGCTGTTTTGAAGGGTCTTCTCCCTATCTCGGTCTTTGGACGCCTCTCTGCTGCCTGCGGTCTTAACTTTGGAGTGTTTATCTTTGGCAGCTGAGGCTGCAGCTGGGGACGCCAGATGCAGGGGTGCCCGTTTGACAGCGTCGTCATCTGCCGACGTCCTCGACGGCCACAGAGGCTTTGCAGCTGCTGCCGGGACTGAACCAGATGTGTAATCGTTTGATTTCCACGCACTGGACTTCTGTGGCGAGCCAGACTTTCCAACAACACCGTCCTTATGGAGTGAAGAGGGCACTGTGTTTCCTGTATTACTGCTACTTTCCTTCCCTGAGCTGGACTTGTCCTTGCATGGGATTGTGTTGGAAGTGGGGGCAGACCGGTGGTGAGGCAACAAACTGAGGCCCGCAGAAACGTCCTGGTCTTTCCCTCCATGTTTCCCTTGCTTGTCGGCCAACTTGGTGCTGCCACTTCTCTGCTGACCTGAGAGAACGGCAGTACCCAGTGGAGGGGATGAGTGGCCCGAGCCTGCAGGTGCCAGTCTGGAGTTCTTACTTTCACCTCCAGCCTGTTTGGACTGAGCATTACTAGCAACGCTATCCTTGCCTGAGCGAGAGTCTTTGCTTCGCTCCGTGCTTCTGTGACTGGAGTCTCTAGAGGAGGGCTTGCCTCTGTCAGAGTCTCTGCTGGAAGGTCTGTCTTTACCTGGGCCTGAGTCTCTCCCTGTGTCTCTGCCATGGTGCTTGTGTTTTTCAGAATCTCTGCTGAATTGCCTTCCTTTGTCCATGTCCTTATAGCTGGGATCTCTAGAAGATGATTTACTCTTATCCGTTTCTCTTGAGCTTGACTCTCTGTTGGTTTGTCTTCCTTTGTCAGAGTCTCTGCTAGCTTGTTTTCCTTTTTCTGAATCTCTTGAGGGTTCTCTACTGAGAGGTCGCCCCCTCTCCAAGTCCCTCAAACCTGAGTCTTTACTTGAATGTTTCTTCTTTTCTGGCTCTTTGGATGATATTTCTCCCTTGTCTGACTCTTTCTGGCAAACATCTCTGGATGATCTACTCCTATCAGAGTCCCTGGAACCATGGTCTCGACTTGAAGACCTCCCCTTGTCCGCATCTCTCGGGCCTTGGTCTCTGATTGGCTGCTGTTTGTTTTTGTCGGTAGATGACGATCGGCTTCTTTCATCCTCCCTGCGGACTGGACTTTTTGAGTCTTTGCTGTGGTGTTTGGACTTTTCTGGGTCTCTTGCAGGAGAGGGGATGAGGGGTGGGGGTGAGGTTAGGGGTCGTGAGAAAATCTGAGGTGCGGACGTCACACCTCTCTGTCTGTTCAGCTGGTAGGGGGGAGGAGAGAGAGAAGGGGAGCTGTGACGCCTTGAGTCCACAGTCCGCATGCTAGGGTTTACCAGGGAGTCTCCAACACTCACAATCTCATGGCTTTGGTGCTGCGAAGTACCCCCTGCAAAAGAAAGGAAAGTCATTTTACAAAATCATTTCTAAAATTATCCATACTATCATACATGAAAACATTTCTTAAATTTAAGGGAAAACCCCACATGCTGTTCCTGTTCAGCACTCTTAAAGAAAGCATTTTTATTTCTGTTTCTTATTGAGCAGGTTAAATAAATCGTAACATGTAATGGACAATTGCTGAATCAGTCATGAGATTGTAACTGCCTCACAGAATGGGTGTGCGTTATCTATTTAAGATAGCCGTTGAGAGACGGCTCTTTGTACAGCAATCTCACAAAGGTCACAGAGGGCTGAAACTACAGCGATATCCTCCAAAGCACAAGAATCAATCTGAGGTGTATAAAAGAAAGCAGAAAAAATCAAGGTCATTTAACTAAGGAAAAAAAAAAAAAAAGAAGAAGATTTAGTACCTGAGGATGGCACAGGCCTGGGGCCTATCGGGCGCTGACAAGGCGGATAGCTTGGGTGTCGGTTTCTGGTGTAAACCCTGAGCTTTGGGGTGTTGGTAGGGGAACGAGTGTCAGAACGCCTTGGTGACTCAAATGGATCAGGAAAATCTACAAGCAGGGGAAAAAGAAAGAAAAAAAATGTAATCAAACACATTATTTGAAAATGCTTTGAAAGTGCTTCGAAAATACAGTGTTGTGACTTTTCTGTATGTAATATGCACAGTTTTCTGGTATCCTGGCTTTCTCCCAAGGTATCTAATAAATCTGGTTAGATTCTTTTTAAATGGGACTGTGTGCATGGCCGCTACACTCTGTGTGACCCTGTGATGGACTAGTGACATCTCCAGGATGTTCAGTCAGTGGCAGTAACTGGTAAATAAACTTCAGCTTCCCTTTTTCCTCACTGAAAACTACAAAATATATTTTAATATTTGTCGCCCTTGGATTACTTTTATTTAACTACACAAAGTAACATACTGACACCTTAAAGATAAGTTTGTGGGTTACCTGTTATGGGAGGTGGACTGTGTGCAATTGTACGATTATCCTCAGGAGCCATCGTGGTTTTCTGGTGACAGTCTGCCACTGCGGGGTGACAAACTAATATCCTGCAGGTATAGACACAGCGCTTTCGAGCATCTAGAGTGCTCCAGTACACCCTTGAACACCTGGAGAGAAAAGAATGCATTTCAATTAAAAGTCCTTACCACTCTTCTCTCTGTGGTGTGTACGTTATTTATGAGAACAGGAATGCTGTCACTGAAAATATGGATAGAAAGCTTTGAGGTAAAACACAACTCACTGGTATCCTACAGGGAACAGCTTGCGTTTGGAGTCTGAGAGTTCAGTCAGTATTCCCAAACAATCAACCGTCATGGAACCTGCAACGATTATGTTTTAAATCAGAGTTCACTTCACTATAGAAGTATGCCGAGGTGAAACCGTGAGAATTATCATTTAGCATCGGTTAACCTACCAATCATCATGTGGACATTTTCAGGCTCTAACCCTGCCAGCCATTTCCTCCTGAGACTAATGCCCTCCAGGTCCACCAGGATCCTACGGGACACCTCAAACCCAGACACTACCTAAAGGAAAAGCAAAGCAACATGAGAAAGTTCGAATCAAAATACCTGGCACAGCACATTCACACAAGAGGCCAACAGAAGATTCAAGGACTGACTCAAGTTTAAACTTGTCAGACCCACCCCTCATCTTGTAGTATGAATCAAGTTAAGGTTGCAAAGTAAAGCGCATTTCCTTACTTCTCCTCTGATGAGGTCCCTGTGCTTTGGACAGTAAACCTTCTTGTCTTCCAAGAAGACGCAGTGGCACTGACGGGCACACATGAAGTGGTAGTTATTGCTGCAGGAGGTGAAGCAGCAGCTGACCGAGGCTCCTTTCCTCTGACACTTCTCACAGCGCTGAGCAGAGAAACATAACAGGTTGTCAGTGTCCGCCCAATAAATCTGCCCTGTAAATTGCTGCATCTTGGACAACGTGTCTTACCATCTGTCTTCCCCTGAGCACGGCCATGTGAACATTTTTCAGAGAGCTGTCGTCATCCTCGAACACCTCAGCGGACCAGAGCGCGCAGTTCACGTGTGTCCACTCATTCTGCCCGATGTACAACAGCCTGCCACACTCCTAAAGCAGAGAAACATGTAAGTGAGTCAAACTCAGACGCATGTGTGGGGAGGTGACTTGAGGCCCATCGGTGACTCACGTTAGTGTTCTCATCTCCATACTTTAGACACAGGGCACATTGCCTGTTATCAGTGACACCTGGCGGAGGAGGGAGCTCTGGGCCGTCTTCATGATCTGAGTAGAAAACAAGTCCTTCGGACTAAGAAAACTAGGAAGATGTGCAAAAAAGCTTGGTCTCCCAAGTCTCACAAGCTACAGTTGCTTTATAAATAATATCCCTTTAGAATGGGTGAGGTCAAAAGAGTTGGTGCATCCCTGAGAGGAAGATGTGCAAAAAAGCTTGGTCTCCCAAGTCTCACAAGCTTCAGTTTCTTTATAAATAATATCCCTTTAGAATGGGTGAGGTCAAAAGAGTGCATCCCTGAGACGTGTGTTTATCACATCTTATAAAAAGTTACTTAAAATTAAAAATAATTATCAAACTAGATGAGCTTGTACAGACATTGTCAATGTCTACAGATTGACCAATCAGAAGTCTGCCATGGATCAACATCATCTTAGCTTTGTATCAGTCATTATCAATCACATTGCACCACCCACAAACCCCAATTCCAATTAAGTTGTTACACCGTGTAAAACATAACTAAAACCTGAATACAATGATCTATTAATCCCTTTGTACCGACATACCACAGTTGAATACACTACAAAGACAATATTTAATGTTGTTTTTACTCAGATTAAAGAAGTACATCAAGCATTAAAAGTAAATAATTCCACTGACCAAGAGTGTCCTCAGTTCATAAACCTTTATCAGTTATAACACATGATTTGCAGCATGCCTTACCTGGTAGGAGTGGGGGTGGAGGAGGTAGAGAAGGTAGAAGAGGGTGAGGGGAGGCTGGTGAATCCGGTTCACCGAGGTTCTTGGCCTGGGGAGCTGGGATAATCTTTTTCATTAAGTGGGGGTGCTCAGCGCGGGAAAGCTCCTGTCTCTCCTGCCACTGTGCATAGTTGTGGTCTAGGGATGGAGGCAGCACTGCGTTGGGGAGAAGCCCACTGCTGTGGAACACACAGACACGGCATTATTGATTATCAATGAAACAATTACTGTGTAATTTGAGACTGTTTTGATCAATGAGCTCTGTGGTAAGCAACCAAGGACAGAAGACACAAGAGTTAATTTTAAAAATATATATTATTATATGTGTGGCAGTATATAGAATTGTAAATGTAATCTCCAACCATTAAAAAAAATCCTTGAGAGACAGCAGTATAGAAATATAAAGATTTTGGCATATGTTTCTCTTGTAACATTGTATGAAAAGCAGAATCTGTTGACTATTATACCAGAGCTGAATAACCACATCTAACAGGCTTTGTATATTTTCCAGAATAATTGGGATGGACAGCCTTGTGATATTCCTTCTCTGGGCACGAATGTAACCGCCTTCATAGACTTAGTACTGAAGTTTGTATCTCGTGCCCCTGCCCTGCATTATACCCGGGACCTTGAGGAAGCCACTCCATTGCATCAATGGTGGCTGGGAACTGTCTAACCCCCTCTTACGTTGGTCCTAATGTCCCCACCAGGGGGAGCTCTCACTCCTCCCAAAAGGGCACAAAGGGGCAGCTGAGTCAAGCAATGACACTCCTTTAAGTGTGATGCTTATTGTGCTGTGGTCGCTGGAGTGGTGAGGTGGAGAGCTGGTCAGTTCAGCCTTGGGCTGTCGGCCGACATCCCCACCCAGGTGACATGGCACTCTGAGCTGGGTTCCTGGGAAGTGGAATTAAATGCTGCTGGGTTTCCCCCAGAGGTCATTGACACTGTTCAACACGCAGCAGCCTCCTCTTCATATCTATATATACTTATACATTTATACAGAGAAGCTTATGCCAAACTTAAGACTTATGTGGCAGGAATCTCGGCCCGTCACATGGGGTGAGGTGACAAATCTGTGGGACAGCCCCCCTCTGATATGTTGTTGTATGATGGTGTAAACCACCTCCGGGACTGTTGTTTGCAGTTAGCTCCACAGTTCATTGTTTTCAGCCCGGTCCAGCTTTTGTGCATGAAGTGATGGCATATTCATACCCGTGTTCTTCAGTCTAACCAGTTGTTTGTTTCTTCGTAAGGGCAAACCTGTCAGACATGATCCAACTGTATTGTGGAGACTACAGGTCTCTGTTAAAAGTTTACAGATGCTCGACTCTCTACCAGAGTGATGGCTTGTTCAACTTGAGGCAGGGGGCACATTGCGTGCATTGTTTGAGGTGTCCATTCAGGATATCTGCGCAGTGGCTGGATAGGCGACACCAAACATGTTTGTCCCCATTGTATTTACACAGCCACATCCAGCTTCTAAAAGCACACAGAGACCTGAGCGTGTCTCAATTGGTCTGTCACAGACAGACGTGGCGTCATTGGAGCCTTTAATGAAAACGCCAGCAGGGACATCTTGAAATAAAATAAATGAATAAAAACAAATCCTTTCATGTTTGCAACAGGGTTCAGTATTGGGTTGTGTGCTGGTTTTACAAGTCTGGTGCGCAGATACAAAAGAAAATGGCCTGAGCTGATAAGTAGCAGGCCACAAACAGAGTCTCAGTAAAGCTGTTTCAGAGTCTTTAAGTGAAATGGGATCCAGTTATGACCTGCCTATCAAAATACCTGGAAACAAAACTAAATAAATGTACTGAAAACGAAATGGTTGAAAACGGGAAAGCCTAAGTGAGAGATTGAATGAGCAAACTAATCAGGAAAAAAACAAAAAAACCTTCTTACAGAACAGGAAACCTCCCAATTTTTGTCATGAAAAGACTTAACAAAAAACTGAACAACACTCTTCTTTGTATACCTTTTCCAACTTACAATTTAAAGGAACTATCATCTGACATCCTCATTTTGCATCTTCACCCCCCCTTTTTGGAATATTCAGCAAAAACAGTTTATAAATATTAGTTCTCTGCTTGGTGTTTCCGTCCTAAATACACATGACGAAACAGCTTCTTCCAAAAGAACCACATCTTACTCCTCATTTCAATAATTACAGACCAGCAGTTCTTGACAGCTGCAGTTTTTGGATAAGCTCGCATTACATGTGTATTATAAGTCAAATTCTCTTCTCTATAATTATGCACATCATCCATTTGTCAATACTATTGAAACGGAAAACACTCACTGCCAAGAACCTTTGTTTGAATACTGACTTCCAGGTTTTATTCATGTTAGTTTGAGCTTTACCAAAACTAACAGTCCAGTAATGCCTGACTTTGTCTGAACTTCGGGATTTACATATATTAATGCTGCTTACACACCACAACAACAGTCACATTCTCTTGCATTTTCAATGGTGTGATAAACACTCACTTGGCAGAGACTTTTTGCCTTTCCCAGAACCTGGACTCTTTCACTTTGAACCATGGGAAGTTTCGGTCCATTTGCTGAAAAGGAAAACATTCATTGAAGTTTTCACACCAGCCCCACTGAAGCATTTGCACAGACCTGCATTTGGGGTGCAAATCCATCTTATGATTGTGTTATTACATGATCAACATGTCTATTCTGTGACTGCTGAGAGATCACTGCAGTCAGTTTAAATACTTTTTAAACTGTTTGATATGATCCAGTGGTATAAAAATTAGTATTTGTGAATTGAACTACTTGGTTTGTTTTTTTTCTGTGGAGTTTCCAGTAGGGCTGTGAAACTTGAGATAGTCTGTCTTACCCGAATGAAGAAAGACTTCACCATACTGTTGGCTTTCCTGCTCTCAGGCTGGCCTCCGTCACCGCTGAGGGCCGTCTGGATGATCCGCACAATGTCATCACTGAACTCCAGCTGGGAGAGAGATGATAAACACCAATGACAAACACATGCTGACTGTTAGTCAAGAAAGAGACAAGCCAATAAACACTGGCAGAGAGAGCATTAGTGCATCTACTAATGTTCACTGATCATTGTCAATCACAATTCTGACAGATAAGTCGAGACAAATACAAAGAAACTTCTTTAAAAATAAATCTTTTTAAAACCTGCTCTAAAGCTGATAAATTAATTAAAGCCTCATCATCCTGATGTCAGGTCTAATCAAAAGGTGGAATGTTTTCATTGGTCTAAAAATACTAAACAGCTTAATACACAGCAGATATTCAGACTATCAATGGATAAAATTTAGCAAAAACCACACTTCTCTTGACAGTGAGCGGCTTGAAGTTTGCTTTGGGAACAGATAACAGACTACTAACCAATGAATTGTAACAGCCCTGATTCATCTTTTTCTCGACTGATTCCAGGTCTGAAGGGGAGTCACTGGGAGCTGTGGGGGCCACCTCGGTGAGGACTGGAGGATCCGGGCCCTCTGGTGAACGGCGGGATGGAAGACTCTCCTCTGTCTCTGGATTCAGCTCTGGTGGCTTCACAGCCTGCAGTGCAGCCAGAGAACAGTGTTCTCAACAGTAGATTTTCAGAGATGTTTCTGCAGCTCTTACTAACTAAGTTTGAAAATGCATTAATATTCACTCTGCATTTAAGAGTACAGGACCAGACTTTGCTAAAATATACCACTACAAAAAGAACTCCCAAATTCAAGCAGATTCGGATGCACGTCTAACCTGTCTGTAGCGTAACAGGTGTGTGGATGTGCGCGAGTTGAGCAGTGCGTTGAGAATATTGCGAATGCAGCCCTGGAGCTCCCTCTCCAGCGCCGTCCTCCACTCGGCAGGATGGCGCTCGGTACATTTGGTACATGTGTAGGTGACGTTCTCCGGCAGCTTTGACAGCAATTCGTACATTTCCTCTGAGGAACGGCAAAATGACAGGTCACTACGGCTGCCATCATTTGGTCTATTGTCTGTTAGCATCTCATAAACTCAACAGGCCCCTGACAGGGTGGCCTGTCAGTAATCTACACAAAAGCTGAAAACTGACGAGGCAAAAGAAGTCAACATGCAGCATCCTTTAATATTGCATATACGTGGCTTTTTACTGACCTGTAAGATTCTCACACTTGGCGTGAACCCAGTGGTTACAACGGCCACACTCCATCATCTTGCTGTCATTTTCTTCATCATCATGACACTTATCACACAGCGGGCAGAAGTTCCCTGTGAGAGATTATTTAAGGAACAATTGTCTAGATATTGTTTCAGGCGCTACAGAACTGTTCAAAAGAATGCCGGTGATTAACAGAGAAAAAGGTCACTGACCTTTAGCAAAGAGTTTGGCACAGTCATGACACATGGAGAAGTCATGTGACCACTGGGCATCCCAGGACTTCCCAGGTTTAGTGGCTCCACAACTCTTGCAGCGCACACACTTGGTGCAAATCTATGAACGAAGGACACAGACATGGCGTTCGTAGCAGAAAACTTTAAAGGCTTCATTTCCGCAGTTGCAATGTTGTGAAAGTGGCACTGAAACAGGAGTAAAATGTTAAATAGTCACAGCCTATGAAAGGTCCCTTACATAGAAGTCGCACAATCAGGAAAGAATGAACAATGTTTAAATGAAAGGAGCATAGGAGGAAACAAATGTGTGCACATGGTGCTACGTCTGGTCAGATAGTAGTGAGGGGGCAGGTTATGTGTGAAGGCAGAGAGGAGAGGATTGTTACCCAGACTCTCTTCTTCTTGGTAGGTCTGGTAGGGTAGTTGGGACCCAGGCACTCCGGGTGATAGCTGTTGCGGCACTTAACACATTCTAGCAGCTGTTGCTGCAACAAGAGAGGCCAAAAGTGATAAGTCTAAATATAAATATCAAAAGAGGAACCAGCAGCTTTCCCCAAAACCCCACAAACAATGATTAGGTTAAAATCATGCAGCTTTAAAAGCATTTGTCTTAGTATTTTCAAAGGGCGATCAATTTGTGTTTAAGTGTACACAGAGGTTTGACAACACTGCCCAGGCAGGTTATCCTAAGTAACCTTTATAATAGCTGGCATGGATGGATAAACATAATTATGATCAAACTCAATGGACAGGTCTGGCAAGTTTTGTGGAGGATCACAAAAGCGGGTCAACACAGTCAGCCTGTGCATCCACATGCAGTAAACAGCTGCGGAATATTCTTTCTCAATACAAACCGAAGGCCGTTCCGCCGTCCATGAAGCAGCAAATAAAGTGCCCCAGTCAAGTTAACAACTGTTTGACGAGTCCTCCTCTCAGTATTTGTTAAATGATTACACACCGCTTGATGCAAAAGCTGCAGTGCGTAGTCGCTTTATGATCCTGCTGTACAGAGTATTTATTACAGTTTGACATGCCATTAACCCCACCAGGAGAGAGATTTCAGACTTTAAAGTCACGCTCTGTTGTGAAAGTAGAGTGACAGGCAACCGCTGCTCTATATGCAGCACTGTGGTCGGACACTGAAGTCAGAGCAAGCTGCTATTTTCTATTTTCCTACTGAATGAGCAAAAACCAGCCAGTTGAAAATACATTTCATTGTACTGCTTAGAAAAAAATTTTAATACATGACTCCTCTGTGACACTGATACAAGGCTCACCCACCATGCCCGTTTTGCACAGAGTGTGAATCGATTAATAAAAGCATGGCGGGAACCCAAGAAGCTGATTAAATGATGTCTGCTGGCAAGTCCAGAAAGCTCCTTTCTTTTCTCAAGATTCTTCCCTCTCTCCGCTCTGTCACTCTAAACTGTGGGCTCTTTTGTGTGCAGTTTGAACTGTACTGAATGCCTTACTTTAGCTTTCTGGTGCTGGCGCCCGCAGGCCTGGCAGAATCGGCATCGGCGACAACACCAGTTTTCGAACTGCTCCTGGAGAGGGCGCTCCGACTCGCCCAGGCAAAAGAGATGAAATGGTTCACAGCATACCTGGCAAAAGACAAACTACGAGAAAAACAAAAGAGACATTTGGAGAAACGCATTTTAGAATTTCAATTGAATTTAATACTTCTAATTTAGTGGCAAAAAGTTGTCGAAAGATTTTTTTTTTTTCTTTTCTTACCTCAACATTTCCACTGCTTGCACATAAGAAGCAGAGCACCCTGGGTGTGACAGGCACAGAGGTGAGCAGGCTGAGGCCACCAGCCTCCCACACCTTCTCCACGTCATGGTCCCTCTTGAAATCCACTCTGATTCGATGCACTCCGTCGCAGGGCGCTCTGGGCTTCACCTGGTCCCTAGTCGAGGGAGTGCTCTGCAAGTTTAAAGTACTGCTGCTGGGTGGTTTCGTGGTCAGCGGCTTTTCGTATTAAACAGACAATAGAGAGGTGGACAAAAAAAGAGGTCAAATTTCAGAAACCAGCGAGCAAATACCAACATTTTAGAGGGGAACTACGCAGCTGAAAAATAAATAAATAAAAGGCGGATCAGAACATATTTGTGCGACTTCCTACCTTATCTTTTGGTTTCGGCTTCGGTGAGAGGGGAACAGTGCGAGAAGTTGGCTTCTTCGTCTGTTTTGAGTCAGCTGGAAAAGAAAAAGGACGTTACGTTACAGAGACTAAACGGTGCGGTCTGATTCCCCACTGAGAGGCAAAGCAAACTCGGCGAAACATGGAGGAGCGTTCTGGGCCGGGCCGGTCCGGGCTCTCTGTGCATTCACCTGTTGGAGTTGGGCTCTGCTGTGGCGTTAAGTGCTGTTGGGGTTTCTTCTTGGGTTCGCTCAGGGAAATCTTAGGCGAGGCGTCTCTTTTCAAAGGCGCCTGACTGGTGAGTGGCCGCTGCTGCTGCTGTGGTGCAGGCTGTTGACACTGCGTGGACTGAGAGGGCGAGTTCTGGGCCGAGGACGACGCAGAGGAAGAGGAGGACGAGGAGGAAGAGGAGGATGAAGACGATGAAGTGGAAGAGGATGACGTGGAGACGGGAGCTTGTATAGGCTGCTGAGGTTTCTGCCCTTTTTTAGTGGTGGCGCTGCCCGGGGCCGGGAGCTGTTTGGGCTCCGGCGTCTGGGCGGGTTGCTGAGCCTGGGCCCCCGTGCTGGGGCCCTGAGCGGCCTCCGCTGGGACGGGGGACGAGGTGAGAGCTGGAGACGATTGTTTCGACGGCGGCTGCTGCTGTTTTGACCTCTCCTCGCCCAGCTTTAGAGGGGGGGTCTCACTTTTTTTACGAGGAGGATCCTCCTTTGGTGGCGCGGGAGTGGCCTCCGCATTGGGTCCTTTCACCGGATTGAGACACTCCTTTTTCTCCTTGTCTGACTTGCTCTTTTTCTTGTCCTTCTTGGCTTTGCCTTGCTTTTGAAGAATCTTTGAGGGCATCCACTGCAAGTTCTGGCACTTTCTCATCCTGTGAATGAGAGATACAAAGCTCAAAATTCAACTCTTGAAGTGTCCACCGAAACAAAGTGGCGGTGAAAGGGTTACCTTTCTTAACCAGACAGAAAAATCCATGAGCTAAGACTCACTTGCAGCATTGCTTTTTAATATTTCGTCCTCCAAACTTGGGTTTGTCAAGACAGTTGGTGCAGACGCCACAGTCCTCTGGAACCTGGCAGCCCGAGCACTGGCCACAGCGACGGGACCGCCGTCCCTTTTTGGGGGGAGCTTCTTGAACAGCCTTCTGCCGCGTCTCTCGTGGCTTTATGGGAGGAGACTGGGGCTCTGCCTCTTCTGAGCCTGCTACTGATGACTTATCTGTAATTAGCCCGTCACAGATAGCTGTCATCACGGCAGCCACATTATACCCCCTTATTAGACTTATGTAGTACATCTAGTTCTAACCTTTTTTTAATAATAAAAGGATTATGACCAAGACACTTTAGTAAATGAGTTACTATTAGGGCCCTGGACCTTGACATGGAGACAATCAAAAAATAGCAGGAACAGAGCAGCCCAAACTCCTCTCACCCCATCACCACCTCACTGTGTACTTGTGTTCTCATTAATGACTCCATTTCTCTACTTCCCTATTTCCCAGTGACTAATTCCTCATCATCACATGCTGAAAAACTTTGCAACTTTGCTACTATGTTGTGATAAATCAATCAGAGCAGTTAACAATGAATGTGAAAAAGCATCAAAGTGACCTCTTTTTTCTTCAATATTGCTTATCAAATCATGTATCCTTAAGCTTTTAATTCTGTTATGTTTTAGATAGAAGCATCTGCATGATGTTTTTGATCTAATGAACCTCATATGCATGTCAAAAGAGAGGAAAGTTTGAGAGGTCTTACCATCGTTCCCCATGGAAGATAGGATCTTTTCTCTTTCCTCCCAGGGCAAGGCACTAAGTGTGGGCATGTCGTCGGGGAACACTGCCCGCTTACGGCCAAGAGCCACAGCTGCACGTCGGCACACGTGCTTGATGCGTGGACCGTGGACTGAGGCCTCCGACGAGTCACTCTCCTGACCCTGCAGACGTCACAGTAGTAAAACATACACACCAGCAACCACAACTACAAATGTAAAGAGCAGAAACAACTCATTTTCAGGGGGTTGCTCGTGTGGTTATGGATAACACTGTGCAGTTAAAGTTCAATAATGACGGAGGTGTCAAATGACAGAGGGACGTTGAAAAAGAAAAAGAGGACGTTCCAGTTATCAAATTCCAGTCCGGTTACAAATAAGGGTTTCTATTTACAGCGAATGTTCAAAAAGCGTCATGTCAACGTTTTTTTTTTTTACTCGTGGCAAAATCTTTCGAAATCTTTTCAACTTCCATTAACCCATAAGACACAAACAAGAAAAACTGACCTGGACCTTAGTCTGATCTGCAGGCTTCAGCTTATTTTTCTCTATTGCGATGAGCTGGTCTTTGGCCTTCTTCAGTAGTCCCACGAGACGCCTGTCAGTCTGCTGCTCTGCTTGTTTCACCACCACCGAATCAGAAAGCGCTTGTCTCCCCGCCTGCGCGGGCAGGTTTGCCGTTTGCTGGTTGGGAATACTTCGTTTCTCTTTCTCCTTCTCACCATCCTCCATCTCGGCGCTTTTCTCGGAGGGTCTGCCTTTCTTACTCAGGCGACCTTTTGCGATGGAAATAGGATGGAGCCCGCGCCCGTCTGCAGAAGCTGGGTCAGAAACAGTGTCAGCTGATGTTGATTTTTTTCTCCCTGGAGTCTTTTTTGGTGCAAGGGCACCTTCTGAGTCTCTCCCATCCACGGTAAACAGGCTGGAAGGTGCGTTGGGGGAGCCGTCAGGTGTGGATGCCTTACTCCTTTTCTCCAAATCTTTTCTCCCTTCCCTTTTATTCTCCTTCTCTTTCTCCCGATTTTTCTCAGAGTCCCTTTCTTTGTCCTTTGGGGCAAGTTCTTGGGGTGCCGACGAGCTTTTCTCTTTACCTCGCCCTGCGTCCTGAGAACTCGAAAGACAGAGAGGGAAAAGCGGGGAAGAAGCAGCTGAGGATGTGGACATGGGAGACGGGGTTCCGGCCGCTCCCCTTCTGCTATCGGACGCTCCCTGTGAGACCAGAGCCCGAGGGGCGGTGGGGAAGGGGCTGAAAGAAGCAGGTGTTAAGGCACTAGTGGCTTGTGGACTTACAGAAACCCCTGGCATGGACCCGGAGTTACTACTGCTGACAGAGCTCGTCCTCAAAGACAACTCCGAGGCGCCTTTCCCCCCAGATATCCGGCCTCCCATCTGGCTGCTGCGTCTGGTCATGGAGTGCGACGGGGAGCGAGGGTGACCGCGTTGTGCTCCCGGGACCAACCGTTTTCTGCGCCGCAGGCTTCTGCTGGACCCGGAGGAGGTCTGACGTGGGGAGAGGGAGCCTGGGCTGCCGGAGGATGGCCGCAGGGTGACGGACTCGAATATTCGGGAGTGGGCTTCGCTGGGCGTGAAGCGCGGAGCCCGAAGCAGCGGGCTGCGCTTCGGGATGGGCGCGTCGAAACGAGACGAGGAGGGGTGCTGGTGGTGGGGGTGGGCGTGGAGGGGGGCGAACAAACGATTCCCTGCCCCTGACCCGGAGCCTTGTGCTGGGAACCCGACGGGAGCGGCTCCTCCTGCTCCTGCGACGCCTTGAGGCAACAGCCCCACGTCTTCGGGGGTGAGCGGGGGAGGGCGGAAATTGTCGAATATAGGCTTTCTGATGAGGCCCTCCTTGGCATATTTGGCGGAGGAAAAGTACAGCTGCTTAGGGTGCGACAGGGACGTCCAGCGGAATGTGGGCTCTTTCAGAATTGAGCGGCTTCGTTTCTCCGACAAGCTGGACGGCACTGAGGGCCCAGGCATGAAGGGGGGGATGGGGTGCGGCATCCAGGATGACTGCGGGTGGTGCTCAGTGATGACGGCCGCATTAGAGGAACCTGACTGGGAAGGCTGTGGAGGAGTGAGGAGAGGGGGAGGTGGAGGTGAGGAGGGAGACGAGGCGGCGGAGGAAGCTTGTTGGGAATTTACGAGAGTGGAAGAGGACATCAGCACTCCAGTAGGGGGGCTGATGATCGGCTTTTTAGCTCCAGTGGTTAGAGGCTCTCTGACCCGCTGCTTCTGACTCCCCCGGCCGACCCCCTGGGCTCTCCGGCCCCTTCGACTCCGTTCTGCCAAAACGCGCTCTGGCTCGGGCTCAGAGGGAGGAGAGGGAGGCCGGGAGCTGTGTGACAGGTTGGGGTCCCTCTCTCCCTGCGAGGATGGAGAGTGATCCTCTGGCTCTGACAGTGCCTGCGTGCCCTCAGAGGCCTGGGAGTCACACGAGGAGTCGTCCAAACTCGGGCTGCTGGACCTGGAAGACTCTGCAGAGGAGAGCTGAGAGGAATGCTGTGACACGGCACTGGAGCCGCAAGACGGAGCGCTACTGCTGAATCTCCCGTTGGCTGCGCTGTTGGCGTTGTTGTTCAGAAGACTGGCAGTTGTTGGCGGGACAGAGGGGACCGGGGCGGGAGATGGCGGGGGAGGGAGGGAGTCGATAAGAGCGATCGTACCGCTGCTAGTGACGGCTGACGTTACCGAGACAAGTGCAGTGGAGGGGGAGGAGGAGGAGGCGGTAGACGTGGACAGGGCAGATGTGGAGACGGACGAGGGGGGGGTCTCTAACCGTGCCACCTTGGCGTGGGGCTGCGGGGTTCCAAAACTGCCCTCGTCTTCGATGAAGCGTTTGGGAGTTTTGATGATGCGCAGGGACACGGTGCTGACCACGGGCATGATGAACTGCCGGATGTTCTTCAGCTGGGTTTTTCTGATGCCCGCCTCAGTGGCCGCGGCCCCGTTGCCCCCGATGGCTTCTTTCTCCAGCCGCTTCTGCGCTCCCTTCTTAGCGCGCTGCAGCAACTGCTTGGCGATGGTGGCGTCGGTCCGTTTGGAAGGCGGGACGATCCGGACTGGCTTCCGATGCCGAGGGCTTTTCCTGAGGCCTACCGGCCTGCCTGACTTGGAGGGAGATGGGGAGGCAGGTGTGTCGGAGGAGTCTTTGTCCTCCGTACCGTCCGGGCTCCTCGGCATTGGCTGCTGAGCCGTGTGTGCGTCTGTGTCTCTGTCCCCAGTTCGTACCCTGAAGGCTTTGTGTTTCCCCTCCCCGGCTTCCATAGAGGTAGACAGCTCCGCCGCGGCGGCGGCAGCTGCTGCTGCTGCTGCTTCGGCCTTCAGACGTTCAGCTGACGGCGGCCTCCCGCGTCTACGTCGGGGTACACCTGGCAACGTCTTGAGGCGTGACTTGATTGGGGGAATCTTAGTCTCTGTCAGCCTCTTCAAGTTGGAAACTTTGGATTCACCCCGCCCACCTTTGGGGAGCTTTGCCTCCGAGTCCTGAGACTGAGCAGAGCCCGCCGGAAGCCTTTTGATGCCTTTTCTGTCCTTGTCCTCCTCCGTTTCCAGACCCAGGTCAAACTCGGTCTGCCTGCTGTCTGTCCCAGCCGCATGGTGGCCGGTGCTCCAAACTTTCTTGCTATTAGAGGAAGGCGGTCGCCCTCTCCTTTTCTCCCCAGTGCTGGGCGGTCTCCCAGGCAGCCGTTTAACCTTCTCCACAGGCCTGTCAGGACCCTCAGGTTTCGCTTGTGTCGGGGAGGAAATGGGTGAGGGAAAAGCAGCTTTCTGGGAAGTAAGGGCCCGCGGGGGACGACCTCTGGGCTTCTTCTCCTGGACTGGTGGGCTTGCTAATGAAACCAGAGAACAAAACAGAAAGGGATTTAGTCATATCAGAAGTATCAGGCGCAGACAACTGATACCAGCAAAGTAATCTTAAGATCTAAGAAACACTAAAAGGGGATTTATTTGAATTACTAATACCTGGAGAAGCTGCTGAAGGGCTTTGTATTCTCGTTGGTTCAGTAATTGTGCCAAATCCTCCAAATGCCTCTTCCTGTAAAACAAAACAAATAAAATCTGTTCTCTGTAACCACTGATTCTTGGAATAATGGAAATATAAGGGAATAAAAAGTTCATGTTTATCAAAGTTAAAGGTAAATAACTATCAAATAATCTGAATGTGCAACATAGAGTCATTGCTGAAGTCAGATGAAGACCAAAGCTTCAACACTATAATGATGTGCTCAATCTCACTGATTTACTGTTCAGCTCTCATGTTTCTTTGGCTTTTGGAATGACATGCTGTTGGAGAGGGCTCAAACCACAACACACAGTTTGAATTCCATTCATCCATCCTTTTTCCAGACCCACTTCATCCTGTTCAGGGTCGCGGGGGGGGGGGCTGCAGCCTATCCCGACTGCCATCGGGCAGGAGGAAGCATGTGACCTTTACAGGTCACCAGTCAATTGTAGTGGCAAATCAAGAGACAAATAACCATGCATACTCACGTCCACACTCAATTTAGAGTAACAAATTATTGTGGACATGCAGGATTTCGGTCTGTGGGTGGAAACCGGAGCAGCAGGAGAAAAAAAAACCTACACTCTTCAGAGAGAGGCCCATGCTGAGATTCAAACAAGGAACCTTCTCGCTGTGAGGTGTCACTGCTCACCACCAAACCACCGTCCAGCCCCACTTTGAATTCCAAACATCCAAATCTTAGTGGGTGACTAATGCAGAGCGCTGCATCGCTGTTCCTGGAGGGAACGGTGAAATGCTAAGATGGTTAGTCATTCACAAACACCGACATAATTCAGACACATCATGTTAAAGGCTTTCAACGGGAGTGGTTTCAGAGGAGCAGCAAAGCAACAGACATTTTTAGACTTGAATGTACAGTGATTATTGTATGCTTGTCAGCGTATTAATGCCAATCTCCTTTTAAAATGCCTGAATAGAATATTAACATTAGCAGATATGCCATTGTTTTACAATGTTTCTGCCATTTCAAATGATTGACTTTAAATGATTTCCATTTGCTGTAGTCAATAGATTACACATGGGTCTGTAAACATAATATGTGTAATGAGTGCATCAATCCTTCCCCTCATATCTCGACAGAGAACTGAGATGTGCTACAGTAAAATCCCCAGGGGATGATCAGCATCTTAAAGAGCCTTTGTGTGTCACTACTTCTTGCAATCAGTGCGTCTAAGGATGGAGGTGAGTGTGTCATTTCATCATGTTTATTTATAGAGGCGTGTGGGGATGCAGTTGAAGACTTGTTGGCCCAGTTTAGAGAGCAGCTGCTTTCCAAGTGTGTGCACACGAAGCCATGCTAACTGATTTTACACCAGCTAGGAGTCATACACACTTTCGTGTCAGTAACGCATACTAAAAAATGTCCCTGACGCACACACTCACTGACAAGAGGTGGAATGCAATTTTAAAACATTAACTGTGATATCATGAGCTGCAAAAAACTGCCTTTCATCTGCTCTACATATGAGCAAATGGCAGTAGCGGGCTACTGATTTTCCTGGCGGGCCGTTTCAATCTGAGCATCCGTCATTCCTCAAAGTGCGTCGGAGCATCTTCCTCTATTTACACTTCTCTCTCCTCCTCCCCTCTCATCACAGTAACGCCAGCATCCTCATTCTCTCCGAGCAAGCTGCTGCTCCTGTTTGATGGTGTTGCAGAGCCGAGGGGGGGGCGGAGTACCAACGGACGCCACTGACTCGCTGTGATGGTGTGAGTAGCAGTCAATGACATCACAACGTGCTGGGATGGAGAACAAGGGCTTGAAGCGGACCTGGCGGCCACATGTAGCCACACACGCGTCCACGTGCGCTCGTACCTCCGGGTTCTGACTGCAACCGTGCCTACCTAACACGTATAAAAAGGACATTTTAAAAAAAGCGCACCCACAAAAAGGCTATGCATGAACTGCACATCAAGATGTAAACAACCAGAACATAGGCGTGAGGATGTGGGGGAGGGGAGCACAAGCAACCAAACCAGAGTGACGAAAGGAGGAGGGTGGTGGGAGGATGGAGAGGACAGGAAAAAAAAGAGAGAAGGAAAGCATCTTGACCACATGCACCGTCAACAACAGAAGGAGCGCAGTTGTCTCCTGGGAGCGCTGGACGAAAAAGGGGCTCGGCTTTTTCGGCGTGCTCGCGCAGAAGCTCGCCAGATCCCAAACTAAACAGGCCTCCCACACACACAACAAGGCTCCCCTCTCCACCCCCTTAGTCCTGCTCTCTGCCATGCTCCCGAGCACACACTCAGCCGCTCGCTTATTGCTCGCTCGCTGGTTTCCCGCCCACTGGCTACCAAGCACCGAGCAGCAACGTGTGAAACGCAAGGCTCCCCATGAGCTCAATAGCAGGGCAGGCAGGGGAGGCAACTTCAAGAAGTAAACAAACACTGTAGTAGAAGAACAAGGTACGGTTTACCTTGACTTGCAACACGCAAGTGATAAAAGGTGACTGGATAAGTGGCGTTCCTCAGCAAAACTAAAGAGCATTATTTATCTTTGCGCGCAGTTCTACTTCCTGCTGATCTGCCACATCTCAACTGCCTGATCACGGCATGCATCGCTTGACAGAAATCACCGAGCGCTAAAGAAAAGGAAATCGATCTGATTCATAGTGGAAAGAACAGTTATTTTCAGAAGTTGCAGGGGACTGTCCCTGACACTTTGTAGATGCCTGGGAATTTGGTTTGAGTTAGACTTCTCTGTATCGTTCTGACGTTGCCTTTGTTGAGGGTTAGTGGGGCTTTCATCGCAGAGTTTAGGAGAAATCGAACTGACTACAGACCACGGGCAGCAGATAAGAGATCAGCATGCATTTATTAGAACAGTACACTGTGATATTTTTCATAATCCGTTTCATTATAAGTGGTAATCCTAACCCTACATGTTGAATAACTATAGCCACACAATGATTTTACTCCCATGTGACATGTGAGGAGATAAAGTTAAGGCATGCCGTCCACTCTTTAAGCTTTCCTTTGGATGTACGGCACAGACTATGAATCACCACTTCCCAGAATGTAAATAGGAGATGAGCTCACACTTCTCTACGTCCCACTGATGACACATCTGTTAAAAAAAACGGGCCATAGAGGTGAATTACACCGTGGTGACCTCCGTCAGCCCCGAGCAAAAGGTGGATGTTTGTTTCCCCCCCCCCCCCGAGTGTCCAAACACTACGTACAACTGTTTCACATCTGCTCCTCAAGACGTGGATCTAAACAAACACTGCTGGGACACCTCCTCTTTCTACACCTCGCACATAAGGAGAAGAGGGCAGCCGGTGGACAAAGACAAACAGACTGATTGACGTGAGCGCATGGTCCCTCACACACACCGTAACACGGACACACACACACCCACGAGCACCCATCCTGTCGAAGGAACTGAAGTTTTAATCAAAATAAAGACAAAGGGGACACGGCCATTCCTGACTGCGGCGAGAGACAAAGTCCCAGGGACACCCCTGCACCTACCACCACGCACACAAAGACAAGAAAGACGACACAATTGCCGCCTTTCTCCCAGTCAGGCAACCCCTAAAGCAGAGGTGAAAGCTCGCTGCCCGCCTGCTGTAGCAGAATAAAGCCGTGGATGGGAGGGTCTGTGACTAATTCTCCACCCAGCGTCCCGTTGGGAGGAGGGGGTTTGCCCCGCACCCTTTGATATCCCTGCCTGCCCTCTTTCAGCCGCCCGCACTATGTGGGAGCTAGAATAAAAGCAGACACAAAGCTTCCTGCTCCAGTCCACACGCTGCCTTGGGGATGGGTAAGCGGGTGTGGGGGTCTTCCATTTAAATAGGCCAAACACCTGCTGGACTGAAGCCCCTTCCGCTCAAGCACATCATTTCTCTCAAAGCACTGAGGCAAGGAGACATTTAGGTTGATACGTCTATTCAGCTGCATTTTTGGATGAATGAGTAAACTTTGAGTTTAAAAAAAAAAAACTGAAAGGATGTAGCAGACGGCAGATTAATTGCTCCAGAACAAAAAAAGCTAAACAAAATTATGCTAAATTAAAATTTGAGAGAAAATTATATATGCAGTTTCTCTTGAGGGGTGAGATGGTCCCACAATTACCAAAAATTGTTCATGTGGTCTTTGCTCAGCGATACGAAACAAGAAAAAAAGGTTTGTCAGGATCAAGTAAATGAATTGCCCTTTCACACACAAAAGGTAATAAATGCCTTCATTTGGACAGCGCCAGCCAGCGAGTATCCCTTTAGAGGCACCCCAATGGGCTTAGTAATCCATTCCAAAGTGGCAGCTGTCAGAAGAAAAGTTGCTCTGCCTCTCAGACTGGGCTGTCTGTGTGTCTGAAGTGGATTTAGGTTTTTCTGCCTGGATGGAGGAGGAGGAGGGGGGGGGGCAGCCAAGAGTCCGGCTGGCACTCTGCTCAGGGTTGCCCTGTGAGCTCAGTGGGCTGCAGTGAGGTTGAGCAACCCTGCCTCGGTCTGGCCAGACGAGCACTACACCCTGGCTCTTGATGAAATCACCATGCTGAGTCCTCAACTTCCACAGGCTTCAGGTTCCACTGGGATTTACCGCTTTAGTCTGTATCCACACTCCACAAATAGTGCTATATTCTATCAGAAGAGGAACTCGCTCCTTATTTCTGAAACAGCAACAGCCATAGGGTGAAGCATACGTATATAAAATGGAAATTAGGGAATTTATGATCCACAGTCGTAAAATTCAAAGTTGCATATTATTTTTATGGCCACAGCGTCATTCCATCTCTCGCTGTAGGTGCTTGCATGCAGAAATATAGAGAAAGCTGACAAACCCATTGAACACAAACTGAGGGATTCCCTTGAGCGTTATCAATAAACGCATACACTTCAAGCTCAATAAGGATTTAATGGTGCCCATTATACGTCTATTTTTTAGGCTCTCCCAAAGACTTAATCACCCGTTTTTATTGCCAGTGCTTTTCACCTTAAATATAATTCAACTTAAATGTAAATAAAACCATTTAAAAAGCAACATTTCTATATATTCACTAAGATATATAGAATGGGTTACAACAAGACGTCTCATAATCTCCAACACAGGCGAGATGTGTAAAAAAAAAAGACCCATGTGGTTTAAGAATAATGAAAATAAACATATCAAAACGCCTGTGTGACGACAATGGATAGAATGCTGTGCTTTAACCAAATAAGTGTTCTGTCTGAGCTGAGATTAGGAGCTCTAAAGCTGGTGGTAAACATCCACACTCGGTGTACTCCCACTGCAGTGAACGCGTGCTGCTCATCATGAAGAAGGAAGATGGTAGTTCGCTAAGGCGAACACACCCCCACATCACACGGTCCGTCAAGAAGGGGCTCGTTGTTATTGTAGCCAGCCCTGCATGCGCACTGTCACTAGCAAGCCTTATTCCTCTGCTAAAAAAAGGAGCCTAAACCAGACACAAAAACACGTCGGTACACCTTAAATAACGCCGAAAGGAGGGAGCTCCGGCGCGCGGTTACGGGTCACAAGGCGTTATAAACCCGATATTATGTTAGTACTAGCTACGTACTGACTGTAGAGAAGGGGAAAACATGTCCACCTCCCATTTTCCTATGCATCAGCAATAGCCCCAATGGCTAGCGTGGCGAAGTGCGTAGCATGGTAGCTGTCCTAGCTTAACGTTAAACAGCAATAGATATTTAGCTTTGCACATGGGTTGTGAGAACTTTAGCCCCATGGCGCTCGCACGCTGCCTAGAAATACACCGTTCCGACGTAAACACAGCTGACTGGAGACTAAAAGCCCAACTTTACCACCATTTATGACAGGGGGATAATGGTGTAGTTTTAGCTGAGAGAGAGGGGGAGAGACAGACAGCTAGCCTGCGAGCTAACAAAACAGCTATGCTGGTCAAACGTAGCTTAAACGTTGTCACCCGGACAGAGTTAGCCCGTAGCCCGTGTTGTCAGTGCTGGGCTATTTAACTTTAAATATGAAGTGCCGGGAGCCTGAATCGGGTTAACTGAATTGCCCCTTCAGGGAGACGTTGCGGGCAGAGGCTAAGTTAATGTTAGCTCATTACAAACCGCAGCAGTGTACTCTCGCTTCCTTCAAGTTGTGAGCACATTCTACGTTACCTTGAAGCTTCGACACCACAAGGAAAATGCGTCATAAAAACAGCTGTTTAAACACAAGTAAGCTTTAGGTTGTTAACTTAACGCTTGGGGAGGACGTTAACTTTTGCGGCGTCTGCGAGTATGAATTTGAAGGCAGCACATAGAGCCGTGAGGGCTTGACAACAAGCTACTGCCTGGTAAACCTAGTAACAGTGTAACTAGCACAGCAGTCGTAAGCACTTCGTTACACAGTTTCCATCTGCAAAATGGGCTGGTTTTTGGGGCCATATGTTGTGTAGACTCCGAGTAGCCATTTACGAAGTTACACCGGGGTTTCTCTGCCGCGGTCCGGCTAACTGAGTAACGTTAGCACCAGTCCATCCAAACTGTGTGGATGTAGCCGGTCCCCACACTTCCCAAAAGAAGAAAACTTTACTAGTAGCGCAAATACTCGGGCTAAAAAAAATGCAATAACCGCTGGTTGCATGACTCCTTTACTAAAGTTAACCTCACAACACGTCACTGTGGAGTTTAAGGCCACACAACCAACTCAAAGTTAACTGAGCATCCTTGCAATGACAAGTTTGAGCACCATAGAAGCTGGTTGGGGGACAGTAACCGTTAGCTCCGCTTCTCAGAGGAACCGAACGGTCCTCCGGGGGGACCGCGTCCAGCTGTTGCCCGGCCGGTGCTCCCGGCTCCTCTCGGGCTTACCTCTGCGCTGCTCGAGTCGCTCGATTCCCCCAAAACATCCCGAAATTTCTGCAGGTTGCTCCCGATAACCGAGGAGACCTGTAGTGCAGCGTCAAACCCGGGTCCGAGTCCGGCCGCGTTCGGGTGGGCTCCCGGTACATTCCGCAAAGAGGCAGTAACCCGGATTCGGCCCGCTCTCCTCCCGGTACCGGAGTTGCTGCTCCCTCCGGGCCGAGCGGGGAACCGCCACCGACAGCTGTGCGCCATTTTACACTCTCTGCCTGTCTGCCCTGCGATCGGAGATACCTCGGTGGGCGGAACCCTAACCCAGCACTCCACATAAACAACCTCCGCCACAGCGCTCGGCTCTCACTGGCCGGCCTGCCGTTATGCATGTTGCGGGGCGGAACCCAAGAAACCCCGACAATGCATTTTCTCAGCGGCCCGACCGAGGCTCTGCATGGCTGAATCCTAATCAGGTTCAGGGGCTTTGCCCGGGAAAGACCTCCACATTTGAATCACAGACAAGGGCAAAGTGATGAACGTGAGAAAGTGAGACGCCTGAGTACCAGCCAAAAACAACAGATAGTACAAGATAACCACGGCTTTAAGAGATGTTGGAAAATAGATGCGTAATAATTTATTCTGCACACATAAAACGTATTTTCTGGAGGATTTCACGTTCACAAACGGGTCACATCACATTACACTGTTACATTAGACACTGAGAAATAGAAGAATGAACATTTTTAATATCATAATAGCTGAAACCAAGTCAAATAAATGGAAAGCCACACCTCTTGATGTGGAATAAATCACATGTTTTCATTTTACCTGTGTTCTTTGTAAAGGTACATTTGATTCATTAGAGCAATTATATCTTGTGAAGCAATTAGAGCAAAACACTCTCCTTCAAATAAAGATTTGAAAAAGCAAAATTTTTAAGATGATTATGAAATAATCCAAAATACCTAAAATGGAATCAAACACGATTGTAAAATAATAGCAAATGATCTCACCTAATCCTGTGCATACTAACAGAAAAATCTCCAATCATCTTGGATGGTAAAATCATTTACTCATTCTTTAATTCTCCCAGTTAAGAAGTCTTCACCACCAGATCTCCGAACCTCTGATCCTCTGAACCAGATTTTACTGGACAAAGTTGATTAAAACAAAGTTATTATTATTTATAGAATAATTATTAATGTGATTATAGCTGTTTCTATTAATATGGAACCTATTTTCGGTTTCAAATGCAGATACCAGGGAGCAACATAGATTGTGGCTCTGGAAAACATCAACTTGGAGGAGTGGGACATTCTTACATTGCAATTTCCCTCATTTGAGAAGATGGGCATTTGCAAGTTTAGTTTTGGACGGACTGTAGAACATCAATGTAGAAATAAGTAATCTTCAAATATTATCTATGTACTGAATTTTCAAATTAACTTTAAATCAGTGGGATGTATCTCTGTGAAAACCAGATATTTTCAGGAGCTGAAAACAAAAACACGACTAGAAAGATCATACAGTCAAAGCATGCATTTGAAAGAAGTTTTATTACAGGGAATCAGTTTACCAGTCCTTGGTTTGGTCCACAGTTTGACAAAGATGCCTAACCCCACATTGCCTGGGATGTAGTAAACCAGGTGCAAGTGTCTGTATAATAGAGAGAAGTTCTACATAGTATGGATAAAAAAAAATAGTATGACTAAAAAGATAAAAAGTGATAAGGGCTGAATGGGTCTTGGACTATAAATATTTTTGGACGGCAGTACTAAAATTATGGGTCATGTCTGGGATAACTGACTTTATGAGTGTTCTAACCGTGTTTTTATCCTCTTCAGATCCTCTTTCAATCACAGAGGACACGTAGAAGAGATGCTGATGTGCAAAGTAAGTGCATGTTAGGTGTTACACTTCGGAATGCTATAATAAAGATTACTTCTATACATTTCTGCATCAGTTAGCTTGACAGCCATGTCCTTTGCCTCAGTGGTTGCCTGGCTCCCTGCACAGTGATCATATGAATACATTTCTAATCAGAGAAGGCAGTTTGTGTCACCTCTTTCGGAGATTTGCAGCTCTTTGGAAATGGCTTCCGAAGATATTCACGGCTGTGTTAATCTATGATCCTCTTTCTGACATGTGCACTAAGCTCCCCAGTGAGCTCTGGGCACTAAGATGCCCAGTGAGAACTGTAAAACAGTTGGCACTGACTGACACCGACTGCAGTCAATTTTGTTCTTTAAATGGGAGGGGGGAAAAATCAATCTGTGCAAGTGTAAGCATCATTTTGAGACTTTATTTTCTCTTTCCAGATGCTGATCAATGCAATTTTTGGAACACCAAACTACTGCTCAAACATTTTTTGTGACCGTTTTAAATACATTACAGCACCTCTTTAAGCCTTTATTAAATGTGTAATCAGACTTTAGATGTCCACAGTGCACAGGTGTAAAAAGTCTGTCCTGACTTTCAGATTGGTCACAAATCCTTTTTGGAGATAACGGAGGACTTTTGGAAAACAGAATCCAACCTGAATACATGGTGTTCTGCTGAGCATTGGTCCAACAACATGATCCAACATATTTTTGACTCAAGAGGCATGAGAAAAGTTGTCTCTTGTGATCTATTCATGATTACAGCTATATTTTGTAATGTTTTGAAAGGAAAAAGAAACGTAGCAGGACAGTGTTTTATATAACTTAGATGAGTTTATTCCTTAATCATACTGTACATCCAATACAATCAATTTAAAATCACAAAACAAAACAAAAAAAATGGATTTTACTGAAAACCATGTGATCGTCAGGGTGGTAATTATCAAACACAGTATGGGAGGAGCATGCCATCCAATCTTCTCCTCACATTTCACCAACTCCTACTTAAATGTCACCACATATATTCAAAACACTACTCAACAACATTTAATCATCTTCTGCTCTTCTTTCACAACAGCCTACTTAAAGCCCCATGTTGTCCTCAACAAAACTAAACAACTGGGAAAGCGAAGCCTATAAAACAGGTCGAGTCCTCATCCGCTGACACTTATTGCAAGGCTCTTGGTTTTAGGCACCGATTCTATGGATCGACTGTTTCCCCACACGTCAAAACGCTACGCTTAACGAACGAGAAAAAACTCTAATCAAAACACTGTATCCGGTCACATCAGTCAACATCTGGTGAGCATCCATTTAAAAAAAGTGACCATGACCGACGTGTACACTGCCAATCAAAAATAACTGAACCTTATATTTCTGCCATTTAGGATTTCATCAAGAAATGTGACTGCTGTCAGGACCCTAAAATAAGACTGTGTATGAAGCTGACAGAATTGAAACCATAAACTGCATCTACTCAGTCAGATTAGCTTGCTGACGGATAATGAGTTGGAGCTAATCTTTATTTCTAATACAGTGGGGCATTTTGGAATCCTTTACACCTGTTTCATCTGCATGTGTGTTCATACTTAAAACCACAGGCGACACCGACCCATGTTTTTGGAAGTTTCTTCTTGCTTCTTCGCGCCAGGAGCTTGGTGCCCATTATCGGAAGTGTCTTAAAAGGGAACTGGGCACATTTTACACATGCGGGTCACTGTGATGGTCAGGCTTTGGACAGTTTCGGCCTTCTCCAGCTATGAAGAAAAACCTTTTACAAAGCTGAGGCAGTTTTAAATGCGTGACAAATAGAGTGATGAAATTATAGTCCCGAAGGGTTTCACACTTTCATGCTACACAGATGTTTTGTTTGCTTTTATCAAGCTGTCCCCTGGAGCTGTCGCACCACTGTCACTATCTATTTGTGACTGCTGAGAGAAAATGCTCCCAAATTAACACTCACCATAATAACAAGCCTCTAAGTCGTGCAGTTTAACTGTACACTCTGATATTTCCAGACAGACTTCAAATTTGTGTTTTTTCTCTCTTGTCACAAAGTTGTAATCCTTTAATCCCAGTAGATTCATCAGAGGGCTTTCCCATTCAGACAAGATAATAATCACTTCAATAAATGAGGTGTTTTGAGGATCCGACTAGTTTTACTGTGTGTTAAAACACAAAAACAGTAAAAAAAAGAAAAAGATTTTGAATGTACTCAAGATTATATAGATTATTTTCAATCCAAAAAGTCACATAATTGAGTAACATTTTACCGACATTTCATTTTTAATTTCTAATTTAATTTACAATGCACATTACGGTCAAGAGTTAACCATGAGTGCAAACATATAGGGTAATGTTGAGCTTTGAACGGCAGTGTATCATATATTCTTTACAGAGGGGAAATCAAGTTTAAATTATAAACAATTCCATCCATGTTCTGACTTGTGAGTTCCCAAAAATACTTACCTTTCATTATAAAATCGAGTTAGAGACGGCTGGTCAGTCAGGAGTTCATGGCCAACGCTCTGGCCGCAGTGAGAAGCAGAGGCTAGTGTTTACCGCACGGCATCATGGGAGCGGAGCGGCTGCTGTGTGACCATTCTGAAGTCGGCTCCAGCAGGCGGGCTTTAGTTTGTCTGAACTGTCGTTGCAGAGATGATCTGTTAAGCATGAAGGCATGAAAAAAGCTAATGCAATGTCAAACAGAAGAAAGAGTCCACAGCGGAGATCGCGCTGCGGATTTGTCACAGAGCAGAGGAGCGTGTGTGCCAGGAGAGAAGACAACGATGAGCGGAGAGTCACTGTGGCGCTGGGGAGGTCAGGGCTAGCCACTGGGCCCCAGCTGCAGCCTCTCCTGCTTATGTTTATCCAACCACTGTAGGATCTGCTGTTTGAGTTCCTCGTTTGGCCTGATCTGGTCCATAGTTAGAGGACTGCGGTTGAAGGGGTCTGTCTGGTCGCTGCGCGGGAGACAAAAATCAATAAAAATGTTGCGGTTAATTTCAGGCTCTGAGGCAGTTAATAGCCTGTTAGGACAAGGACACAGACACATGGGGATTCTGGGCAGAAGCGAGGAACATTTATGACCTCAGTCATAGGCACCACTGGTCTCCTCCAAAGGTACGGCACATCTTCTCTGAGTGAGTTTTCAGGCTTATCCATGAAGCGACTCACCTGAGGAGATGTCTTGCTATAGTTGAGCGGTCTACTGTTACATTAGAAGAGGGGAGGAGGACAGGATCCATCATCAGTGTGGACATTATAGGGTCCAGGAACTCATCTGGAGCATCTGCGTACGTCTCCTCTTCCTGCTGCTGCCTGTCTGCATGAGACTGAACAGAGGTACGACAGGGACAGACTGAGCCCTTACGGCAGTATTCACAAGTACTGACTCCATACACCCAATGAGAGGGTCCTTCTGTGATACCTTTATTTTATCTGCAAGGAGACTGAAAGCCACAATCATGTCGCCGGGCTTATTGATCTTCTTCAGTACACGGAGCATCTGAGAGAAGAGGGTCGGAGAATACGATCGGCCATCCTTCGGGACCGTAGCACAGAAATTCTCCTCATCGCTGCCGAAGAGAAAAAGGTATTTGGATTTTTTTTTTTTCTCGGGTTAAACAGCTTAAATAAAAGGCTAAGAAAAAACTAAAGGAGCCCACACACCCCAGGTTTAGGTAGATTGTGCAGATGTCAGAAACGAGCTGCTGCGGCTTGAAGTCGAACTCGCTGAAGTCCTTGACTTTAAGAGCTCCCATCTTAGGACCCACCAGGTGCTGCAGGAAGTAGTTGAGCATAGAGATGATTCTCTCAGCCAGAAACGGATGAACAAAGATGCCCTTGATCTCTGAAAAAGAAAAATCAATCAAAAGAAAAATGTACATTATTTGTTTGAAACACTGAAATAAATAAAGCAGCAGGAAATAACTTTGGGTTTGTTTTTATTTGAAATAATGTAATACGATTAAAGTTTGTGTTCACATTTTACAGTACTTTCAAATATGATATACACTGCTATATCATGTGCATAATAATGCATTAATATTGGGTTAATTGGCCAGTACTAAAATAAACGTACTCCCATGGGGGAAAAGATAGATAATAAATAAATAAAGGGGGAAATCTTTTCCTTAAAGGATGTTGTGACCCGGCCTTTACTGTCCGACCTGAGGTGAGAAAGGCCAGGGTGCCGATGGTCTCGTTGGACATGATGTTGTGGAAGCGTCCCAGCTGTCCAAACATCTGCAGGCTCGACTCCTTCTCTCTTCGGGCGTCGGGGGCAAGGCCTTCCCAATCGCCTCGGTCCCGCTCCAGCTGCAGAATCTTGATTTTACTAAGGTACTAAAAGAAAAGAAAAAAATTCTATGAATTCTTTCTGAAATTAGAGCATGAAAATTTTATTTTTTGCTAGTATATTCATCTTTCAGTAAAATAATTCTGGATGCCCACAAAGTCATGACAACTTGACTGGCAAACAAGTAACCCGAATACATTTTGTTTTTCAGAACTGGTACATGTTCTGATATATTTGAAGTTAAAACTGAAATGTGTCAAACCTGAATAGCCTCATCCAGCAGGAAGATGGCGTCATTCATAAGTAAGTTGAGGAACCTGAGGAACAGAGGGGGGTTCATGGCCTCCAGGTTCTCAGATGCATAGTTTGCTAAGTGCTGAAAGAAAACCATGTCAAACAAAATCATGAGTGCAACATACTGAACCACCTAGAAAGAAACCATGCTAGCTTTTCCTAGTTAATCTGCCTTTACATTTGAGTGTTTACAGCTGCCATGACTGGAAGTCTACAGCAAGTGCAAAACTAATAAAAGAACACCGCCAGCTAGTGAGGGTAGGCTTTCATTTCTACTTTTATTACCTTTAATTCTCCAATTATACCAGAAAATGGGATTGTCTGAGTTGGTTTGCTCACTCTTAAGGTGATCAGGACACACATTCAGAATTATCATTACGGTATCCTAATTTAAACAGTGGCTGTATTTTTTAAGGCAGATCTTTATCTTACCAAGAAAACGTCAAACCTTTTCACGATAAAGAGACCTTTCCTTTCTTACCTTTATGCTCTCTCTGTAGTTGTCTTTGCTCCACATATACTTGAGGATGGGATACATGGGTCTTCTGTAGTTGAATTTTTGTTCAAACTGATGAGGATCGCCTGCAATTAACAAATGAGGTCAACTGAAAACCGTTAAATGAAACTTACTGTAAATTGCTCAATTATTACAGCACATAACACAGATGCGTAAACACACGCATACAGCTTATTTCATGTTCACCTGACTGTGAAATTACTCCAAATGATATGTCGGTGATTGTGTTAATTATTCTAAAAGAAGATAACTGTACTTTTGTGGTTCTTAAAGAAGTCTGTGCTGTTATCCAAGAGGCTTCCTCAGCACACATTTACCTTAATGAGTGTGATTAGATCAAACATGGCTTAGGAGCACTTAAACCATCTTTATTCACACTGAATATGATGTTGAAAACATTAGTTGAGCTACTATTGATGCCGGTGAGAAAGAAAAAAAGTATCAAATTTTTACCAGTGAATTCAATGTCAACGAACACAGTGATGAGGGCCTCGGCCAGCTGAGGGGCGTGTCTGTAGGAGCAGAAGACCCTCTCTCTTTGAAACACGACCGGCTGAGCAGCACCGTTCGCCAGCGGCTCCATATGAGGCATCACTGCTTCCAAAACCTCTGCCAGCTTTGCCCTTAAATGAGGGTTCTTCATCCTGTTTGGCAGATTAGACAAAGACGGATCTAGCGGTCAGAGGAAGATCTCAAAATTGCTACGGTCACTCTGCCGCCGTTCATCTTGGCACGAGCGTGAGCACGTACCTCTCCACATTTCCCATGAAGACAGTGATGAAGTTCAGAATCTGCTCCAGACTTTCAGCAGAGGACTCCAAAACCTCGTCCGCGAACCGACGCAGGAAGATAAAAAAATCTCCCATGTTTTCTGCAAAAAACTCTGACAAACATAACGCAGCCTCATGTCACGACTGTCATTCTGAGGAATGTTCAACGAGTATTCAACGGTTGGACCACGAGTAACTAACCACTTCAATAATGCATGTACAGCTGCTTTCATTTTATGGCCTTTTGTAAAAATGGGTGTGTTTGAAATTATTCCCCCTGAGACTGCAACATGCAGTTATACTCAACTCAGTTCAGTTCAATCATACTTTATTAACCCCCGGAGAGGAAACGATATTGCCGCAGCATGATTATAACAGATATGTTAACGATAAAATACTTGTATTTGTGCAGTGGTGACAGGGCAGACCCACCTGGTATATAGCAGAGCACAGTGCTGTGTAGGGCGGGCAGGGGAAAACTGAGTGCTACATGCTCAGGTCCCTGGTTTCCTATACTAAGCTGAACAAGCAGGGCAGCAGTGGAAGCTTGGAGATTAAGGCAGCATTGCAGCATGGCGGGCTGTGTGGTGGCGGCTTTGGTCGACAGATAGACGATCATCAGACGCTCAAACTGCTCCAGGAGCTGCTCTGACATTGGGTTGCCTGTGCGCTGGGCCTCCTGCCACGTCACCTGGAGCCGGTGAAGAGACTGGTTCATCTTGACCATCTGCTCGTGAAGTCTGCGTGAACACGGGACGCGGAGCGCGCGTTAATGCTCGGACGGGGCCCCGCGCGAAAGGAAGGTGCTGCGCGGCGCGATGTGGAGCTGAAAGGAAACCCTCTCAGTGAAGTTTACCTGTGGAAGCCAATATGCATAGCGAGTTGGGTGAAGATGAGGTTCTCGGTCAGCAGGCTGTAGGACTGCGCCGAGTCCACCTGCTGCTGGGGGGGCACAGGGATCAGGCAGGTTTCCTTGTCCAGACCTGGAGCGATAAAGCCCGGCCGGATAAAAACCCTAGTTAGTTCATTTTGGCTAGCAACTTCACGATTTGCTTTGTTTCCAGCTGCACCGCAAAACCAAAAAATCTATGCTCCACAACGGATTGACAGCTGACTGCCGTTGTTTCGCCGACCCACCTCTGGCATGGACGTTGCGGTTGCGCCTCTCGTCTTCGCTCATCTCTTTGTGGGCGCAGTAGGTGGGGTTGAAGGTGAGCAGCTTGGGGGAGCGCGGCTTGCAGAAGGGCTGGCACAGTTTCAGGAGGACCGCGCCAAGGTTTAGGAAAAACGCATCGGAGGCGTACATTTGGAAGAAGATCTCCGGCATCTGGTTGGCCCAGATTTTGGTTCGGCCGGCGTTGGCCTGCAGGCAGCTGCCCAACCACGTCAGCAGCAGGTGGCGGGTCTCCCCGGAACGCTGCAGCAGGTTTTTAACAATCTGGTGCACCTTGTCATGGAACTGACCCATGAACTGTAACATAAAGAGAGGCAAGACCATCAGCGGAGGTGGACGTCTATTTAAGGCTCGTTCAGAATAAGATGACAAATTTAGCAAGCTAAAAAAAAAAATCCATGCACCTGGTGGATGTTGGCCTCCTGGACCTTTGTCTCCTGGGCACTGGAGCGGGAGGGGTTCAGGAAATAGCCATGCCCCTCCACAACGCCTGGAGTCTTCAGCAAACAGGATATATTTAATACAGTTCCCAGGAGGCTCTTCTGATACTGCAAACCATTCGCTGGGTCTTTGGGCTGTATGTGCTCCACCAACACCTTAAAAACCCAGAAAGAAAAACAGCTGTTGGAGGGATTTGTTGGGAAACAAGCAACCGTGAAATTCAATTTTCAGCAGTATCATTTAAACCAATCATTTTCTATAACAGAAACTGCATGTTTTATGATATCATGCGTGTGTCTCCTGACCTTGGCAATGTCTTTATGGTGGCTAAAATAGAGGAGAACATCCAAGTAGGAGTACAGGAGAGGCTGGCACAGGTCCAAGTCTTTGATGCGTCCCTGGAAGATATCGAACATGGGAACTACCACCTCCTCAAAGGTGCGCACCTCTTGGTCAGACAGCAGCCCAGCGACGACCTCTTCCACAAACTCCACCACCTCCTCCGGCTCTGAAACAACAATGGCCGGGTGAGTGGATAAAACCAGGGAGGAGACTTCACGGAAGACAGCCAAAGGAAATAGTGAAAATGAGGGGCAGGAAAACAGGTAGCACGAGAGGAAGAGCAACATCAGGCCAAATAGGCCCGACGCAGGAACCTACGGGATCCCCTGAAGCCTTCCAGCAGCAGGTCCAACAGCTGCTCGTAAACATTCTGGCTGATGTAGATTTCAGGCGTGAGCAGAACCGTTCGCGTGTTGGAAACCGTCAGGTTCTTACAGCGAACCGCAAAGGAGAGCAACTTCTCGGGCACCTTGGTCACCTGGTGCACAGATGAGAAACTGTTCATTAAAGTTCCCCTAATTCGTGAGTCTATGATGGGTCTCAAAACACCGCCATTAAAAAGCAATAGTGTAGAGTGACGCATACCTCCTCCTTCGCCCTCTGGAAACAAGCAAAGAGATAAGGGATGGCACATTTATCTCCAGCGTCGCGGTCAGCCGACAGGTTCACAGCGCTGCATGATGTCATGTAGATGAGGTGGTTTCCCGGCTCCAGAAGCAGCAGGCGGTTGAAAAGAGCCTGGAGCACAACGACAAGACATCGCAGACACAAATCAGTCCGGAGAATTCTATTTGTTGAACCCCTAAAGCTGTCTCCATATGTCCCGGCCCTCCTTTGGTGCAGATCTACTTCATTCATAATGCGCTGTGGCACCGAGGCTGAAATGATGAGCCTGGCATTTAAAAGTTGACAGATGCTCATCAGTTAACGGTTTATAGAGGACAAACGGACGTCGCGGCATGTAATGAGCCGTGACTATAAAAACATGGCATTGATGTTTAACCTGCTCTATGTTGTCCATGTCCAGCCAGTCCTGTCCATCCAGGTCAGCTGCCATTTCCTCCAGATAAACACAGCGAGGGGGGATCCCATTGCCTCCTCTCAGACTCGGGTCACCTGTGAATGAAAATGCATCAAATGAAACCAGTATCAATAGTTTTACAAATGACTGCAGAGAGTTTTGAATTTAAAAAAAGCTTGTACACACACTGGGTGAATTTCATTGATGAAATTCAGTAAAACAGCAGCCTGAACGAGAGTAGGCAAGAAAGTAAAAGATCTAATGCGCCACATGTATTTGCTAACTAAAGGAAGCGGAGGACATTTCATGAGGGGGCTCTGTGTGAGAACAGGAGGTCTTTCAGCCTACATTTCCCCAAACAACATGACTCATCCTTAAGTAGTCTGAGTGAAGACAAACCCAGCCTGCTCACAGTGATACTTCACAGAGGTGGAGGTCTTTATATTGTTCTGAAGCCTGGTGACTCATTTGTTACTTACTGGAATTTTCTGATTTCATTTTCCAGAGCAGCATCCAATAATAACCCCAGAAAAAAAACACTGCCACTGTTTATCCATCAGTCTGATCATCAGGAATCTAGTTTTGAATCATCTGTTTGTAAAAGCAAAAAATGTGTCCTGCTGGTTCAACTGACAAATGATCCAACTTTACAAGGCAGCTTCCTGTCTGACAAACAAATTGGCTTTACGTTCATGTAAAATTATAAACGTGACACATGCATCACATGTTTACCATGACGGTCTCATCTTCAAGTTCAATAAATAAGCAATATTCAATACCTCTGGAAAAAAAAGTTTTTGTTATTGTTACACAGACACAGACACTGACACTGTAAGCTGAACTTATGCTAAATAAAAAGAGGGAGGATGGCTGCACTCCATATTATTGTATTTCTGAATGGCACCCAGAGGCTCTCTGAGTCTCACAGAGCTTGTACTTGGTTTGTACTTACTGTTGTCCAGAGTGATCAGAAATATTCTCTGAATCATGTGATTGACATTGAGCTGCTCGCACAGCTCCTGCCGGGAGCGGAAGGAGCGGCTGATCTCCGCAACTGAGTCGTCATTGTCATCAACACTGTCCGACACAGAGTTTTCTGACTCCGACTGGCTCTCTCCCGAGTCTTCCACTGTGGGAGCAGAGAGGAAATCCAAGTGTGAGGCACAGGGGTTCATATAGGGAACCATTTAGTTAAAAAACATTGAAAAATCTTAATGTAAAGAATGTGTGGCTGCACTTTAATAAACCATTAGACTTTAGTGAAATCTAGCAGTACAAACTGAAAATAAGTATTTTGTAACAACTTATAGACCATCCCATTTTTAGGAATAAATTGACAGATTTATGGGAACATCATGCATTTAAAGAATTTCAAAACTAATTTAAAATAGTGCTACTATTTGGAGCTTTTTTTATCATTCAAAAACTGTCTTTAGCACCTGACGATCCTTTAAAACCAGTGAGAGCCTCAAAGCAATGAGTGAAGACCTCAAATAAAGCTCACAAGCCCCACTAAGAGTGTGGACTTCACATTCGACAGCATTTTTTATGTCACTCACATGGTGGTTGAGCAGACTGCTGCTGGGGTTTCTGGCCTGATGCAAACTGTTTGGCATCAGCCAGTGAGCTGAAGAGGGCAGCAAAGGGGTTGCGGGAGATGTTCTGGTTGTTGTTGCCCTGGTCAGTCATCTCACTGGGGCTCAACGCTTACTCCATCCAAGATTCCCGCCTCAAAACAGAGAAAGTGTGAAGACAGGAAATGGAGAAATACCTTAAACAACCCACTGGCATCCTTCTTAAATGACATATCATCCACATCACTTAGTTCTTGCAATAAAATTAAGAGACTTAAAAGTTAACTTAATCCATAAGAGCAATCAAACATGTTATCACACAAACTGGAAGGTGTATTTCCAGACATCACACATTCCACCAAACAGCCTCTGCTCTTCCGTATGAAAACTGTTTTAACATCAACAACGTAGTCTTTTTCAAGGCTGCAAACAAATTGAGCATCACTCTTATGTGAGGTGTTTTCCTGCTTTTGATTTTAACAAAATGGAAATTGAGAAATACCTTAAACAACCCACTGGCATCCTTCTTAAATGACATATCATCCACATCCCTTCATTCTTGCAATAAAATGAAGAGAATTAAAAGTTCACTTAATCCATAAGAGCAATCAAACATGTTATCACACAAACTGGAAGGTGTATTTCCAGACATCACACATTCCACCAAACAGCCTCTGCTCTTCCGTATGAAAACTGTTTTAACATCAACAACGGGATCTTCTTCAAGGCTGCAAACAAATTGAGCATCACTCTTATGTGAGGTGTTTTCCTGCTTTTGATTTTGACATCAGATGCTACGAAGAATGATGAACACAAGAGCAAAGTCATTCATTAAAATTAGAAGTTTAACTTGGTTCTAACTGACATTCAAATTTTCTGAAGAGACAAATCGATGGCTGTTTTAGGGTAGCCCTGGAGCTCTGGAACCACAGCTGTTTGCAGTTTTAAGACATGCCTACCAAACTCTGCTCAGGGGATGCTCCTATAGTGTGCTTTATGTCTGAGGGTTAAACAGCTGCTGCCATCCCCTGAACCACATCAACATCACAAACACCCTCAAAGTCCCAGATGATTCAGCATCATCATACTGAAAGGTTTCACCAACTCTGCAGTTCAATATTCAATACGGTTATCATAGATTTGTATTCCTTATATTCACTGTGGTTTTGAAAGCCCATCAGAAATCCTTCATACTTCAAACAATCCATTCCAATACTGTGTGAACTTCTAACGGTTTAAAATGTACCCACATAGGGGTAGTGACTGTTTTTAGTCAGCTGACAACTATCTTATTAAACAAAACTATATTTGATGTGTCCAGCCCTTACTAACGCTTCCAGTAATAACAACAGTAATCAAACTAATCATCAACCTCTCTATTTACATGCTGCTACTAAAAGAAGACTGTGGATTGCTTGGTTAGCTGAAAGTATTTACAGGGCACTTATAAAGTTTTCGGCACCTACACCTGCCTGCTGTTACCAGAGAACACGTGAGAAGAGTGTAAACTACTTCGTAGGCCTTGCCTCATATATTCTTAAACAATTTACACAAGCAGTGGCGTGTTTGTTGGCTAGCTAGCTAGCGGGGTTCAGTTAGTAGCGCAGACCGCATTGCATCTGATAGGTAGCTAGTTAGCTCAAATGTGAGCCAGCAGGCTTAACTGTCAGAGGGTCACCACGGAACCATTACAACAAACACACTCATCGTTATTTCTGTCCATACAACGTGTACAAACGACAATGAGCGTTGTCGTACCTTTTTTGAAGATGCAGAGAGGTGTGTATTTTCCTAATCTAAAAAATTGCTTCTACGAGGCAAGGGGCAGTTCCTCAGTAAACAGAAACCTCCAACGTCATCAACGTGAGACGAATCATTTTCTTTGCTGACTAACCAACTCGCGCAAGAAACAAGTAAAACTTTTGATGGTCCGTAATACGGCAAAGAAGTGGCAAAGATGAGTTTCATATAAAACTCGGAATATGAAATGGAGAAATTATCCCCATAACTCACGTGTCTCATGTGATCAAATTGATTAAAAAATAATAATTAAACGACTTTGTCGAGAAGATATAAGCATAATAAATTGAGGATTAACAGAAATTATTCCATTTCTTGGGAGCAATAAAACAAACTCGTTTTCCTTCCTACCACTTGTTTTATCTGTGTCTCGGGAAACTTATATGTTGCATGTAATGCTTCCTGATCGTCAGCAGAGGGCAGCACTAGACCGGAACTCTCAGCCTGTCTCGTGATTTTACCTACAGTAGTGTTACGTGAAAGCTGCTTATAATGAAACACGTCATAGCCAATTTTCTGTGCAGCAAAACGTGACTTTTCTTTAGCAATTTTTTTGCTGGCCTATTAAGGCATCTCAACATCTTCTTATGTTATACTGTTACAGATAAAACATACACATTTTCAGTCATTTTGCCCAAATGTGTGAACATTTTTATTTTACAGTTACAATATGTTTGGTCAACTTACAACACAAGGTGTCTTGTCAAGAAGGCTGAGTTCCTTCAAGATTCTGTTCATTATTTTTCATCTTAATACAAATGACAAGGATTTAGAAAACTGACAAAACTGTTGATCTAACTAATTTTGTTCCAATGAGGTCAGCAGTGTGATCAAGTGGTCTTCACTAGGGTATTTGTAACGAAGATTCTAAAGGATAATTCAATGATTTTATCAAACCATGATGCAATCAGTCAGAGACGATAAACGCGGTTTAAAGCTCGAAGCAGCTCCAAAATCGAACACTGAGTCATTGTAAATTAACATCTGCTACACATACCTCACCTTGGTATGTGTAACCAATATGTTTAATAGTAATATACAGAGAATGTCTCACGTTTTCAACTAAACAAAAAAAGAATATAAAAATAAATTGTTTTACACACAAATTGTTTTAGCTTTTCAGCATAACTGACAAAGGAAAAACATTCTGATGTCCTCCTTTGTAAAGGCAAAATTAGTGTAACTGAAAAAGTTTGTTCGTCAGGTTCCCGACATACTTCTTTAAGTAGTTAAATTAAATCATCTAAACCAACACTGTCCACTGACCTACACTCATTGTGTATTTACTATACAGACATAAAGAATTTTACAAAATTACAAAAAAAAGGCACAATATGTACAGTCTTTCAGCTGTTCTGTGGAAATACTGGAGCTCCGAGCCATCACAGTTTAGATTTGAAATGCATTTTAGTAGGTGTCCATTTTACGAGTCTCTGTTCTGCTTCTCTTTCATCAGAAGTGTCCCTCTGGCCTCTTTGTCATCACATGATTTACAGGAAGAGGATTTCTGGCTTCTCGTGACTTCGCTTCACTTATCCTCAGTCCAGCAGTGAGCGGTGGAACTTGGGGTCCATTATTTGCCATACTGTGCCCCTTTGCCTCGTCTTAGCCAGTCCCTCCAAGGGGACTGAGGTTTGTCCTGGTTAGTGTCTGAATGCCAAGAGAAGGAGGAGGGCTGGCGCGTCCAGGTGGAGGATGCTCGGCTAGGTCTGCGAAAGAATGACATCCCGTTGGAGTTGGGCTTCTTCTGAGGCTGCTCCGACTGCTGCTGTGACCTGAGCTGCTGGTTGATCACAATCTGGATGTCATCCTGAAGGAAAAAGAGGGAGGAAAATAGTACTGCAGATATACCAGGTACCGATGGCGAGTTGTTATCAGGCCTTAGATGGTAGGACGGATTCTGAGAGGTGTGAACGGCAGAGAAAAGTGGCTAAACAGAGGTATTGGTTTAATTCCAGTTAGCTCGGAGCGGGAGCTCACCTGCCAGGCCTCCAGCTCCTGTGATAGCTCCAGTTTGCGTTGGATGGCCTCTAATAATTGGTTGTTCAGCGACATCATGTCATTTTTACTTCTCACCAACTCGGCCTCCATCAGTGTTTTCCTAGAACAAAATAAAGAATCCTCTCCAGTCAGACAAGATATTCAGTAAATGTTGGAGATGTATTTATCTGTCAGGATGACTTCCAATAGAAGTGAAATAAGAGGGAGTGATTTACTTTGCTATGGCCTCATCCCGGTCTCTGATGGCTTGTTGGACGGCATCAGCCTGATCATGCATGTTTTGCAGCTTCTGCATCAGCTCGGCGTTCTCCTGCTGCAGCTGTCTGTTCTACAGGACAAAAAAATGACCAGCTTTAAAAAACATCTCCATTTTGAAAAATAAATAGAAGAGGAAAAGAGCAGCAATAAAATTGTAGTATTTATTTGGAACTCCTAATCTCAGTTATAACTGTACAATAATATGGTACGGGAGCCACATTTGAAATTTCTTTATTTATTGCAGACATATCTGGTCCAGCAGGGGCATACAGTGAACCCACACATTGCACACAGGTGCTGAAAACCAAGGTACACCACCAGCGTCACTTTTTAGGGTAAATACTCTGTGATTGGTGCTTGCTGTGCTTTGTATGTATAAAACTTCAATGACACCATTTTTATATGACAAGCTACAACTTTCTCACATGCGATTGCAGTTGATCTCATTTTGAGATAAAGAACAATCAGCTGTTTAAGTACAAAATTCTGACTCTACATAAAACCAACGTGGAATACAGTGACAATAAGGCCAGCACTGGTGGAGCCCGTCCTGATACAATGGTCTGCCACAGGCACTGTCCCTGTTTTTTTTGCCAAGTATCATTCATCACTGGGTTACCTGATCCCCCAGCTCCTGTGCCGCTTTCAGATTCTCACAGCCACCGGCCGTCCTGTCCACAAAACCCAGATTCAGCTCCTGAATGGGAGACGGTAACAGAGAGATCTGGTGTCAGTCAAGCATGTGCCGGAGAAGGACTGTCTGTGATGCTGGCCTAGTTGCACGATGCTCTGAGGGGCAGAAAGGGTGGGGCTGGGTGTTTGGTTACAGAGGTGAATGGACGCTACTGCCCTGACTGGAGAACAAATACCAACGAGCACAACGACACATTTGTGTGAACCTGCTTACGGCATGCAGGGGCTGAACAGGGCACGGGTATCGGTTGCATCAGTTCACCGGGGGCCATGCAGGGGGTCAACGCTGAATAAACCGAGTGTGAAGGCATAATGGTGACTTACGACTGGGCTTTTTTTTTTTTTTTTTGAGTTGCAATACAAAACCAGTGACGAAAAGGGCACAACAGTGACTGCCCTCGGCTCATTTTATGTATCTTGCAAAAACTTCATGTTATGTTGATCCGTCATTAAAAGAACAAAAAGATTATTCATATTGTGTGCTATAATGACGTGTGATTCAAAGACTTGGACAACATAAGGGTACTTTTCCTGTCTTTTGAACTCAAACAACAATGAAACCCTTTGTGTCCATTTCCTTTCCAACCCCTCACCTGGTGGCTGGGTGCCTGGGCCAGAGACTGGGCCACTCCCTTCAGCCTGTGGAGCATGGCGTGCAGATCTTCCTGTTCTTCCTCGACCTCTGGCCTTTCCGAACCATTCCGATCCTGAGCCAGTGGGAGGAGTAGTTGGAGGATTGACCCCATTTCATGCGTTATCTAAGAAAAAGAAAAAGAGAATATTTATTTGTTAGAAATTATCAAAGGCATCTGTATCTCTCCACTTACTATTTCTTAAATAAAAAAAGGATCTTTCTGGTCCATGTTAAAATAATGGGTTTTAGACATTTTTCGTGCAGTGTAAAACGGACATCTAATTTTAGTGTGCCTTTGGTCACCTTCTGAGTGACATCAGGTATTTACGCAAAGCTGGGTGAACAGCATTACCTCATTACTATATTTAACTCACCTGACTTAACCGCTCCCACAGTATGGCGGTAACTTTAGTTTCCTTTATGTACAATCATCTCATAAATGTTAGAAAAGCTTAAACCGAAAACTGAAAAACTCTCCTACAACGAGGCCTAGATAAACAAGACATGTAGTGAATGAGTCAGGAGCACAATTACATGTCACATTTTCTTTCCATAACACCACAACTACAATAGATACACAGAACGAAAAACAATTCAGTCAAACTTGAATCCACAACAGTCCTTATCAAATGCTCCTTTGTTGTGTCTTCCGTCAGAAAAATCAGGACGTTCACACCATATCCCAGAGTCAGTGAGAAGTATCTGTCACGCTGGACTAAATGTTCTATCCCTGTGCTGAGACTTTGCTTTAACTACAACACAAGTGCATGGCTCCTGAAAGTCAGTGTATGGCTGTGGCTTCTCTAAGATGTTACTGCCAAATATACTTGTACTCAATTATTACAGAGACCCTTTCATGTTATAAGACACATTATCCATAGATCAGATGTGAATTCCTCATAGGATATTTTCTTCCCCTTGCTTCTAAGAGAGTTGGTTTTATTATCAGTTATATAAGTTTTTTTTTATATATCTTAAAACAAGGTCAGTTTGGTTTCTCTTTTTTTCCCCATAACCAGGGGTTGGTAAAGGTTCAAAATTCATGTTTTTTGTTTTTGCTACATTACTATAGGCTGATAAGCCTCTGAGCATTAGGTAAGAACTGGAAAGGTTAAACTAGCATCCTGGAACATAATCAGTGACTCATCTGATTCTGTTATGATAATCCAATGTGTGTAAGCACACATGAATATGGAAATGAGCCACTTTATTCTTAAATGTGTTAATTACCAACAGGCAACCAGTAACAATGGATAGTAAATAAGGTTTTAGGGAAAAAGCTTTAAGGCAGCTATTATTCGAAACCTTTGAGCTTGTGGTCAGTATTAGCTCCACAACAATAAATCCAATCTTGAAAATGTATAAAAACAGCTTTATCGGGACGCTGGATTTTAATCCTGTTGTCCCGCTCTAGACGATCATTTTCAAATATTTGAAACTTTTATTTTAATATTTCTTATCCACTCGGAATTAGTTTCAGACTGTCTCATAACAAAACAAAAAATAATAATAATATGCCTTTTCCTTCTTTCCTTTTCCCTCATGTGCAGTCTAAGGTAGTGGGTGGCTAATCCGGTTGAAAATGTACATATTGAATATATATTCACATTTCCCTTTTTCATAAAAAAATAATTAGTTTGTATTCTTAATAGATTTTATGCCAGCAATTACACACTGTGGATGCTATAAATACATTAATGATTAGAACAGAGTTCATTAAAGCTAAACCTTTCTGCCCCAATAGGGTAGTGTTTCATGAAAGTGGTGTTCAACATTTGGTCTACCTCTTCTTTACTGACTCCGAAGTCTGCCGTCTCCAGCTCAGACAGCAGGGAAGCGTCTCCGTGGTTCCTGGTCTCCTGCAGAGACAGCTCCTCCTGCAGCTCTTCCACCTGGGCCTGCAGCTGCTGCGACTGACTCCTAGCCACCTCCACCTCCTGCCAGGCCTCAGCTAGCTGGAAACATAAGGACGATGTACGTAGGTGAAATGTAGGTGAATATAATGGTAATATATAATATAATATAGTGGTAATGCAGAATGTGCATCACAGAGTAAGTTTACACCAGTTAGTTGTGCTTAGAAGATAAAATAAATTATCGTGTAAAACTCAACAAGCATTCAGCCAAGGGGAAATCCTGATGATCCAGATTCCACGCTTCAGCCAGACATGAAACTCAAGTAATACCAGTGGAATCCAGACTTGTGAGTGATGGTGACAATGACGGGGATAAAGCAATTGTTTTGGAATTCTGTCCACAATCCCACCGAAACTCTGGCCACCAGCTAGACCCTTTTGTTGCTCAGCCACTTTCATTCATGCACCAACTGCACAGTGAAGTGTCGTTTAGCTTCCGGCTACAGTGAGCGACAATCACGGAGTATTTACTCTGAAGAGCGGCGCCATTAGTGCACCGGTGTGCAATGCGTGGGTTACTTTACGCACCTGCTGGCCGTGCTGCTGGTTTAGCTGTTCGTGCAGGGCCAGACGTGTGTGCAGTGAAGACAAGTTGGACCTCAGCTCTGCATTTTCTTTGAACACGCTCTCCAAGCGCTGCTCCAGTACCTGTTCTTTCTGTGTGAGACGCAGCACCTGGTAAAAACAGACATAAAGACGGTCTTAGTTACAATGAAACCAAACATCTTCATTGGAAGGAAAAACTGTGTTGAGTCACATCCACCATCAGGAGTCGTATTACTGGAATTACTGGAAGTGCAATAATGAAAGTAAAAATTAGCTTTCTTGACCGTTTACTTGCACAAGAACCCATTTAACAGAGAAAACAAAGTAGGGAAGGCAAATTAGCAATTAAAGGAATAAAAAAATTATCAACAGCTGGCAAAAAAAGAGGAAAAACAACACTTTCATCAGAAAATTAGAATGTTCACACTGGTGGTGTTTGTTCTGGTCTTTCTGTGTGGGTACACAATGTTTACATGAGTTAAAATATTTAAAGAAAACCATGTAACATCCAGTCTGAATCTCCACTTGGATCTTTTAAAGCCCCATTCAGTGATGTTTGCATGCGTGCTGCAGTCATTACCTGCTCCCTCATGGCACTGATCAGCTCCTCCTCCTGCTGCCGGCTGTGGCTCCCTTGTTGTTGAAGCTCCTGTTTCAGAGCCTGCAGTTCACTTGACATGGCTCTCTCCACTTCTGTAGCCTTCGAATACACAAAAAACAAAGGATTCACAAATGGGGTTAAAAAACAAAACAAAACAGAACTTCTAAACTTTTGTTTTTGACCACACATGAAGAAAATACATTTATTGATTTAGAAATAAAATCTAAAACTAAAAACTAAACCCGAAAAAGAACAACCTGGATATGAAGCACATTCACTATAGCTTCCTCCGTTGACTCTGCAGTAACAACAAAATGAAGATTTTCTATTTGGTTCTGCATGGTTTCAATTATTTTTAGACTTTATAAATGAACTAACTGATAGATTTCCTGCTATCAAACCTGACAAAGTCACATGAAAAGAGCTTGTCCTGTTTTTCTTCCAAGAAAGAAAAAAAGGAATCTGAAACACTGGGAGAAAACAACATATCAAGAAACATTTGGTTTCTGCTTTGAATAAGCCCTGTAGGTACAGCTCCCATTCAGTTCCTCCAGTAACAGAAAATGCAAACATTGTCTCCAGAGGCCAGTCGCATTTCTTGCAGGCGTAGTAGTTTCCTAACACAAACATGGAGATGTTGGGATTACATGTTCTGTACACCATCCAAAACATGTGCAAGTTAATTGGTGACAAGTAAGAAAATAGGTTGTTTTGCATTACTAGAGTAGCTGGCCTTCACTGGGACGTTTTATGTCATCAGATGCATTCTAAACGGATGAAAATCTCAAGGACAAATATTGCCATAGACATCCAAAACAGGAACATAAAGGTTGCCGTTTGCTGTGTCAGACATATCTTAAGTGACACTGGCTGCTTTAGAGTATGCCTTGGCTGTAAACTCAGCTCTGAGAAGCAGCATGATTCCAGACAAAAGAAACATAAACTGCTTTTTGCTCTCTAACCACATGTTGGATTAGGAAGGAAATACTCATCCGTTGGTTTTTCTGCTTGTCCCGATCAATGTCATTCAGATTGCTCTAAAGCGCGACTTTTAGAACGTGCCACTCTGAGCCCTAGTTATCCGAAACACCCATGAACCCCCTCCCACTCACAGCCCCAGACTTAGTGCCTTGATTCCCCTTACTCAGCAGTTCGGTAGGGGCCTGTCGGGTCCCATCATCAACGCATAATACAGGATGAAAGGTTGCCTCTGCGGCAGATGGAGCAGAGGGCATCTTTGTCTTGTTGGTGACATCACCATGCCACATTAGACAACAATACAGGGGAGGGTAAACGTGGACATTAAGAGGATAAAGCTAAAAGGGGAGAGTGGGAGTGTCCAGACGAAGCGAAGCAGGCATGTGGCTTTGGAGAAAGAGAAGCGTGAGTGTGTTGGTGTGACGAGAGCAAGACAGGCACTGATGAACAAAAACAAAACACAGCATGCAGACACA